GTTTGATATGAAAGGTATGGGCGAAGCCGATGTGATACTTGGAGTGAAAGTCATCAAAGAGAAAGATGGCTACAAGTTATCACAGGGTCACTACACAGAGAAACTGCTAAAGAAGTTTAACAGTTTTGAAGTGAACCCTGCGCAAACTCCATATGACCCAAGTGCAAAACTCTCGAAGAACACAGAGGCAAGTGTGTCTCAAGAGGAATATGCGAAAATAATTGGGAGTCTGATGTTCTTAATGAACTATACCAGACCGGATATTGCACTTGCGGTAAATCGACTAAGTCGATACACTCATAATCCCAGCGATACCCATTGGAATGCACTAAAGAGAGTGTTACGCTATTTAAAGGGAACAATGAACTGGGGATTGCACTTTTCTGGCTTCCCAGCGTCCCTAGAGGGGTATTGCGATGCGAATTGGGTGAATGATAGTGATGAGGTGAGCTCCACCAGCGGGTATGTTTTTACCATGGGAGGAGCAGCAGTATCGTGGAAATCCACGAAACAGGCGTGCATAGCCAGATCAACGATAGAAGCTGAATTTATAGCTCTTGATCTAGCAGGGCAAGAGGCTGAGTGGTTTAGAAACCTACTGGCAGACGTGCCATTGTGGGGGTCTTCTACGCCGTCAGTGCCCATACATTGTGACTCACAAGCTGCGATATGCGTAGCCAAAAATAGTGCCTATAATGGTAAGAGGAGACACATAAGAGTCAGACATGAGTCTGTGAGACAACTAATTCTAAGTGGCGTACTTTCACTAGAATATGTGAAATCCGAAAAGAACATTGCAGATCCTCTCACGAAGGGGCTAAACAAAAGAGCCATCCTCGAAACATCGAGGGAGATGGGCTTAATAGCAATACAGTGAGCAAACTTCGAGGTCATATAAACCTGGAAGCTAAACACACCTATTCAGAGATAGGTCTCAGGTCAAAGAGTTGACCTTACGAGAAAGACCAAGTTATATATACTTACAGGGTGATTGCTGGTGTGTGAACTGAGTTCAAAACTAACTCTTCTTTCGATAGTTCAAGATCTAATTCACTATCAAAGGAGAAAGTTACTCAAGTCACTACGTGTCAGTTCAAGGTACAACCACTGACATTAAGATCAGCACTCATGCCAGAAATTCCGTCTTCTTCTTGCCACCTTGAATGTGTGGGGGATTGTTGGAGATTACATTCAAGATGGTGGTTTAAAGTGTGTAGAAGGAAGACACTCTTGTCCCACATTGGAAGGATAAGGGACTAATTCCCACCTTTTTAATACCAACCCATTTGGAAGGCTTAAACTATTGTAGAGAGAGAAGGAAAGGGAACTCCACACGTGCGCCGCCGCCGCCCGCCCGGTTCGGTTCGGTTCGGTTCGGTTCGGTTCGCACGCGCGTCGCGGTGTGGTAGGGTCAGCGTTTTACTCGGACTTTATTTTAATTCCGAGTTTTTTTCCTTTTTAGAGGTAGATTTCATGTAGAAATCTACCATCCACACATTAAGTTGTGGTGGAACAAGTCTTCCTATTCTTGTGGGCATTTTCACCACAACTCTTCCTAAAATCGTGGAGCATGAATGGCTGAGAGGGGAGGGGCGGGTATTTCCAATACTATAAATACCCTGCTTCTCCTCAGTTCTATTCACTCATCAAATTCTCTTCTTCTCTTCTGCAATCCTGAGCTTCGGTGTTAACTGGTCGAAAGCAACCGGTAAGACTACAACTGTCTCCGGGAAATTTTTGCTTTTAAGGTAGTGTCTTGCACACGTCACCGATCCCTTCAGGATTCATCCATTCTCAGCCTATAAAAAACAGTAGCCCCAGGTCTACGACATACTCTATCCGAATTTTCCCCAACACTTTCTACCAACCTCAACTCTGAAGAAGACGTTGATAGAGGCGGAGTAAACTTGCGGAGTTGAAAAACCTACAGGAAGCTGTCCGGCTTAGTGATCAAGGAAGCTTTCGTGTGTATTTGTACTAATTAGTGATAGTGCAAACCTTCCATAAGTTGTGGAAGAAGAGTGGAGTAGGAAAAGTTGGCCGAACCACTATAAAAAGTCTCGTCTCTCTATCTTTTTACTTTCGTGCTTTACTTTTCAGCATTGCATTATCATTCGCCCAAACCGAAAGTTACCTTATAACTTCAAATTGTGCAAAGCAACTAAAATCAATTTAATTTATCCGCTGCGTTACAACCCCGAGAGGTTGCTATTTGCCGAAAATCGAGAAGAGTCTATTCACCCCCCCCCCCCTCCCCCCTCTAGACTCTCGTTCTAACCCTACCGGGACCAACAACCATATATTTCGAATTATTTATTATTATCATCTATTGACAACAATTGTAGCAATTGTCATTGACAAACTGTACTCCCAAAACAATTTGTCTCAACCATGAATGAAAATAAAAATAAAAATCAATGACTTCATTGTTGTGGATGAAAAGTAAGTACCCACTTTATTACTCTTATTAAATTAAATAAATTAGTAGCTACAGCAACAAAAAATGCATATGTATTTAATTAATTTAGAATCAGATGTCTATAATGATTTTATTCAAAAAAAAAATTAAATTTAAAAAGAGATATAATGAATTTAGTTATATTATCTTTATTCCTTCAATTCAAAGATTCCTTACCTTCAAATTCATTAATTAATTATATTTACAACATTGTCCATTATTGTCTTCTTTTTACACTATCTTGTAATTAAATATCAAAGTTATAATATAAAATATGTTATATATTTATTTAACAAGTATTTTCTATAAATATAATAAATATTAATATTTTGTTCAAAATAATCTACGACACACATCTCACAACATATGAAACACGTATGGAAAAAACTACCACTGCAAAATATCAACAGGCGCTTGCAAGAAAAAAAGTTCATAGTACACACTAATATCCTAGTCATATACACAACAAGACAAATCTAAAACTTCATACACCATAATCTCATTTCATGACGCCGCCCTCTATGCTACCACCAGTAACTCAATTGCACATGACACACTACCAATAAAAAAGAAAAGGACAAGTACTGAAGATGAAGACATTGACAATAATACTACCCAAAAGAGAAGTAAGAAAACTTAGAGAAATTTAAAACAAAAGAAGTAGTTATTAAGAGTATCGTTTTTAGACTAAGTATTTAGATTAGCGTTATTACAAAGTTGGTAACATTTATTTTAGTGACAATTATAATCAATCTCTCATATATTATCTTACATTTATATACTTTAAATTACTGATTTAAATAAACAAATTCAACATTCAATTACCTATGCATGGACATCTCCTATATAATAATCTTGCATTAATATATTTTGAAATACTTATTTAAAAATAAACTTTAGGTATTATCTCATTCGTGTAATGCGCGTGGAAAACTAGTAAAAAAAATAATTGTTAATATAAAATACTCAGTAGTATTTAATGAGAAAAAATAATAATTTTTTTTAAATATAATATGAAATTGTGACTCACTTTTAAAAGTGTGTTAGAGTTACAAAAATTTGGGAAAAATAATTATAAATTATAAATTTAGTTTTTTTTTTTTGAATGTTACTGGCCCTATTACATTGTAGTATCTGTTCATATACTTTCTCAACCTACCGAAACACAAAGAACCAATAGCGCCTCCACTAAGGCTTGAACTCATAACCTTCCAAATGGAACTTATAAATTTAGTTATGTGAATGTAAGGTGCACGTTTAAAATTAAAAGAGTATATTATAGGAATAAGAATATCCTTAAGTAGTAGATAAGAGTTGTAGTTGGCATCAATTGTTGCTGTTGGTAAACTCACATCGTCAGATCGATGGAAACAACATTTGATTGATTGTTTTCTGAATTTTAAATCAATTACTAGTGTAAAATGACTAATTTTAAATAAATTATACCATCGCGAAGGCCGCCCAGGTTAATCACATGGTTCACCATTTTTATAATAATTTACTAATATATAATCTACAATCTATTTACAAATCTACGATCTACAAATCGAATAAGAGTTAAAAGTTATTAGGTCGTTAACAAATAATAATAATAATAAAATTTGTTGTAATTGTTAGTTGAAATGAATTATTCATATTATTTTTATTTTAATATTTCTTATGATTTCTCGTATTTATCTTCTATTATATTATATTTTTTCTTTAAATAATCTTACATTTCATTAGTATAAACTTTAGTAACAGAATATGTTAGGAACAAGTGTATTTAGATTTTGATGATACCAAACTGTCTAGGAATGTAGACCTCTATTTTTCTTCTATAGATAGGTCTCTTGTGACAAACGGGAGTTTTTGTATGCTTTAACAGGTTTTATATATATATATATATATATATATATATATATATATATATATAGAGAGAGAGAGAGAGAGAGAGATCAGAATTGTTTTAAGGTGTCGATGGAAAATATTGTTTTTAGGTAAAGGATAACAATTTTTAAAAAATCATTTACAGTGTCGATTGATACCTTAGAATATCTCATAATTGAAAACCAGGATGTTTCGGCTACTTAATGGGGAATATTCCCTGAGTTATCGACCCGTAACATCTGATCGGATCAGACTCCAAGCATCTTAAGGATCAATTCCCGACGTGTCCGACCTGCCGGGGCGTACTTAACTGACCGAACCTGATAGTGAGCTTCTGTTCTGAATCCTTTAGGCTTGGTTCCGACCTGAATGCTCGGTTGGGGCCCCCCGAGCCCAAGCGTCCAGTACCTAAAGATGAATGTATTGTAGATAAATGTACCGAAAGTCTGATGAACATGACATTGCAGGTTGGTATTTCTGCCTTTGATGAGGCTGCTGATATTGATTTGTTCTTGTTCATCCAATTCTAAATCTCAATTATTACATGGTAAATTAATCTTTCTGCATATATTATTTCCAAAAATAAAAAAATCTTTCGGCATATATGCATACATTTGCCCAGATGACAATAATCATTTGACTGAGACAAACATTTTGATGTTGTCTTCCACAGATGGTGGAAATCTTGCCTTCTGCAATGGTGCTCTTCATCCTCCGGAAATTGCCGGCAAAATGAGTGTCCGACCAGTACCACCCAATTCAATGACACGGCCGGCGGCCCATAAACGTTGAAGATCAGATCAGAGGATGTTCCGGCCGGCAGTTTTGCTTATTATTAGTACGATGATGTTACAATAGGCCATGTTTGTGTGTGTTTAATTTATCAGCTTTGTCTGTTGTCTTCACTTTGATCAGTACTATAATTTTACATGTAGCATTCAGTATTTCGAGTCCCAGCTAGGATGCTGATGTTCATTGTTGCAGTGATTGAAAATGAAAGTTTGTGGAGGAAAACAGCTTTTTCTGGTAATTAGAGTGGTCGATAATACCAATTGATGGATACCCGGGTAGGATACCCATGGGACACTCGCTAGACAGTCGAGAGTTGACAGCTGAAAATTATGGAATTTCCGACCATCTGGAAGTGATCTTAAATCAAGTCGAAAGTAAAAAATGGTTGGAAATAGCAACAAAGATTTTTCTGAATGCCATAAGTGGTGGAAACAAGATTTTCGACTTGATTTAAGATCAATTTCAAGTGGTCGAAAATTCCATAATTTTCAGTAGTGTGAGTAGTCCGCAGTCAGCAGTCAGCAGAGGAAGGGCTGGCCACGGCGCATAAACATTACAGGGCGTTTGGTTGGAGGGGGAAATTATGTGGGAAAGGAATTGTAATTCTATGGGAGTTAAATTACTGGGAATGAAGTGGGAATTTAAATTCCAGTGTTTGGTTGACAGGAATAAAATTACTGGGAATTTCAATTCCAATGTTTGGTATACAGGAGAATTGAAAGGGAATAAGTAGTATAAAGTCCAAAATGTCCATTATTGTTGTTAAAAGGAAAGATCATACATTTATTTTAGGTTTAAAAAAGAGAAGGGTAATTTTGTCTTATCAGTATTTTTTTTTTCGTCCTAAAATCCCAGGAATTAAAAAATCAGGGGGACATGGGATTTTAATTCCATGAAAATGGAGGAATTGCAATTCCTTCCAACCAAACTACGGAATTTAATGACCTTTGAAATTTGGTGGGAATTAAGTGGGAAGGGAATTTAAAATCCCTTCAACCAAACGCGGAACGCCCATGAAAGGATACTCCGAGTTGAGATTCTTGCCATATTTTGGTGAGATTTCCTTATCCAATTTTAAGAAAAGGGATCCTACAACTTAGGAAAATAAATTCAAAGCTACTTTAGGAAGGTTTCTTAAATCAAATTTGGTTAATCTTTTCCTTTTCTTTCATTTTCCCCGATCGCCAGTCATGTATAATAAATACTCATGTGGTCACATGGTAAGGGGTTTATTTTTTACTCTCTAATAATAATACTGCTTTGTTGCTTTGTGGTATTCGAACTCCACACCACCGCTTTTAATCATGACATCAAATTAGCCGATGAACCACTAAGCTAAGACCAGGAGGGAGGGGTGAGGGTAAATTAAAGCGTACTGTGTGCTCCAAAAGGGATAGTCGAGTAGGTGAAACATGATTCTTATATCAAAAGATTACAAATTTAATTTTTATTAACATCAGAGCCATACCAAAGCCATACCATTTTCTCATGCGTCAAAAACAAAAACAAAAAATAATAATAATAAAAGAGAGCATGTAAATAGAAAACACGTGTATATTACCCACTGAAAATTTGTTATTGATAAAAGAAAATCTGGCAGGTAAATGCTTGTAGCTCAAAGTTGAATTAATGACAGGGCGTTTGGTTCACTGTAATTTAGCTGTAGTTAAATTGTAATTTAGTGGATGCCTCAATACATTGTTTGGTTGGACAGAATTGCAATTCCCTCCTTTTGTTTGTTGAATTGCAATTCATGGGGTACCCTACATGAATGACAATTTAATGAATTTGAGAAAGGAAAAACATATGAAATGACATTAATACCCTTGATTGTTATTACACAAGGGTGTTTTAGTCTTTATACCACTTATTTCCTTCTCAATTTTAATAATTTTATTTCTCCTTACCAAACAACATAATTTGAATTATCACTTTATTCCCATATTATTCTTTCCCACCGAATTACAATTTCTTTCCCACCTAATTTTTTCCAACCAAACGCCCCGTGAACGCACCACACTAATTGAGTTGGTACATGGGCAGTAATTTTAGACTACGTACTTTGGATTTCGTTTCGTGTAGCACTGTAATAAGGTTTTTACTTTTTACCAGCACTGTAATAAGGTTTTTACTTTTTTACCACTCAATATAAGAATAATAAAATTTCATGGTATACGTATATAAAAGTTTATATTTTTAAAAGGAATTTAAGTCAAATAGATCATTGAATAACATGAAAAATTATTATCAATGTTAAAAAATTATAATTGAATATTTAAATAACGCAAAATTAAATAATTGAACCTCAAATGAAATATTTACCCAATCTTTATTGACGTGACAATTACTTTATTTAAAAAATATTATTTTAATAATTTTAAATAAAATAAAAAATCAAACCCCAACCCTTTCCCTGCATTTGTCTATGCCGAATACGAAGAACCTTTATTTATTTCTGACCAGAGAAAAAGAAGGTTTTTTATCGCTAAGTGATCTTCTGGAGACGACGAGTCCGACAAGAGACAAAGAAAGATTATTCATCCATGGCCATAGACGAAGGCGGGGAAGGGGGTTGGGTTTTTTTTTTTTTTTTTTTTTTTTTTTTAAAAAAAATTATTTAAAATTATTAAAATGAATTTAAAACGTAATTTTTAATAAGGTAATCACTATGTTAGCAAAGACCGGGTGAACATGTTATTTTAGGTTCAATTGCAGTATTTTGTGTTGTTCAAAGATTTAATAATTGCAATATTTTGAGTTAGGTAGTTTAATTGTAGTTTTATATATAGTTCGATGTCTTATATTACCCATTTTAAAAAAATATATAAAGTGATACAATATATTTAAAATAGATAATGCATGTTGATATGGAATGCTAGGGCTAGCAAAAATCTTAGACATCGCATGAAACAATCTATACTAAATGTGGCAGATTTAGGGGGTGTATTCAATCATGACTTTTATAGAGTTTTAAAGATTTTTATAGAGTTTTAAAGACTTTTATGAACTTTAAAAGTTTGGAGGTATTCAATTCAAACTTTTAGAGAGTTTAAAAATCAGGCGGTATTCAATCAAGATTTTTAAAGAGTCTTTAAAAGTCGTGTGGTATTCGATTAGGACTTTTAAAGAGTCTTTAAAAGTCATGTGGTATTCAAAAAGTTATGAACTTTTGTAGACTTTTTAATTTTAAGACTTTTGTAGACTTTTCCTTCTCAATATAAATAGTTGAAATCCAACCATCAACCTCAAGATTTCAAAATTTTGTTTCTAACAACTTTGAATGTTTTCTCTCTCTATTTAAACTCTATTTTTTCTCCCTATTTAAAGTTTATAAACCTATATAAATTCAATAAAATTATTTTTTTCTTCATTATCCTATATTTTCCTCATACCTAAACTCTACTAATTTTTCTCTCTCCTAAACTTTACAATCTTCATCTAAAAATTCGAAATAATATTATTTTTACTTCATTATTGCTTGTTTATATTGATTTTTATTTTTTTCTATGAATTTTTTATCCCTAACTTTCTCTAATTCTCACTAAATACATGAATAAAGTAAATTTTTAATCGTCAAATTTCAGTATATGTTTCATAATATTCATATAAATACTTATATATTTTTATTTTTATTCTTTTTTATGTTTATATTCGTAATATATATTTTTTATATTTTTAACAACAGATTAATACAAATAGCGAACTATTGTTCGCAACAACAATTTGGGGTTGCAAACAGTAACACCTTGTTATTGTTCGCAGTCTCAAATTGCTATTGCAAATAATAGTACTTTGTGGAAATGCCTAGCAATATATCAAGTATAATTTTTTATATATATTATTAATATTAGATTTTTATTTTTTTTATTTTATGTAACTTGTAATTATATTTTTAAATATTTTATTTGATCAATTCTTTTATTATAAATTTTATTGTTCACTATTGTTATGAATTTCTAATGAAATAGGTTTTTTGTTTTTTTGGTTGATGTTTATTAATAATATATATAAGTAATTAGCATTTTTTTGAAGAATAAGTAATTAGTATATAAGTCTCAGCATACTATGGATAAAAATAATAATGTTGAGAATGTTGATGTGGGTGAAGAACTATATAATAAGAAGAATTTTATGATATATTATAAATGTTTTGTAAGAAAATTATAAATGATAAGAATCAAAATCATTGAAAGTTTGTAAGGATGTATTCAATTTAGAATTTCAATGACTTTTGTAAACTTTTTAAAATAAAAAGTTGATAAAAGTCTATAAATATTTTTATATAGACTTTTATAGACTCTTATAAAGTTTTAAAAATTTTTGAACGAGTCTATGAAAGTCAATCAAAGTTTATTAAAATATATAATTTTAAAACTCTTTAAAACTCTACAAAAGTCATGATTGAATACACCCTCCTTCTGCTCGATCAGTTACTTAGTATTCTTTTGACTTAGTTTTTGTATAGATAAATGGACAATTCAATAATCTCAATATTGGCATCTCTTTACTCTTAGTCATGTCAAGTATGAAATCTCTCTTTCTTTTACGAATTACCCTCAGAATTACTCCCAAATTTGCGAATATAAAATTTGATTCGCAGGTCTGGAGTAATTCGTAAAAGAAATAGAAATTTCACACTTCGCATGACTAAGAGTAAAGAGATGCCAATATTGAGATTATTGAATTGTCCATTTATTTAACACCAATTTGACGGAATAACAAACGAGAGACTAAATTGGGCAAAAAATATAAAAATTTGGGACTACATGAGGTCACTAAAGGCGTTTAGGACGAAATTGAGAAAAATCACTATAGTCGATGACCATTTAGGGTATTAACTCTATTTAAATTTCACTATATATATATTGATAGAGATTTATATTTATAAAGGTAAAAAACATAATCTCAAAAGACCTCTTGAAAGATGAAGATAGAAGTCTAGAAGATCTATAAAATCTCTATAATTGAGGTCCGTAATTGAGTTCAAATTCATTTGGACTTCAAGTTATTGTACTTTACAACAAAAATAAAAATCTAATTAAAATTTTTGGTCTCAATATAATGCATAAAAATTAAACAAAGAAATAATACAATTTAAAAGTTAATTTACAAGTGTCATTTTTCGTTTATATTTAAATACCAAATTTTAATGTCAATTCCTTCTAAAATTTTATTTTCAATTACAATTAAGATCAATCTATGAATTGAAAAAAATATTAATTATCAATTATAAAAAATAGAGTTAATCAATGATTTGATCCCTCAATTATTAGCGAACGGTCAATGTAGTCCCTTAATTCCTTATTCATCGATTTGGTCCCCGAAAATAATTGTTTTTAATCGATTTAGTCCCTCCGGTCGTCTTCCGTCAACAAATCGGCGAGAACTTCGATTTAGCAGGGGCATTTTGGTCTTTTTTTTTTTGTCTTGAGTCATCTTCTTATACCCAGGCCATCATTTCTTCGATAGCCACCGGCGACGACGACCTCTAACCCGCGATCTGATCGGACCAAAAGGTCCGTCTCGTTGAGGCGGACATGGAGATGTGTGGATCGCACCCTGATGAAGTCGAACGCGAATTGAATCGTGTTACGCTGCAAAGGCGTCAACCTCTTTCCGTCAGTGATCCGACGACTGCACACAGGCGACGATGAATCGAGACAAGCCAGAATGGTCTCCGATACAGCCGCTTCACATCGCGACCAACAGCGAGACGATCGGACTCCGATTGTGATTTCCCCAATCGCGACTTCGATGACGATCTTTGGCACTGTTCCGTAGTCGATGATGAGACAGAGAACTGGAGTCGTCGCTACCACCCAACAACATCATATGATCGGCGATCGGACTTGGGCGATCGAGACTTCGCGGAACCGTCAAGTCAACGGTTACCAGTCTCGATTCTCGCAAACCAGTCGACGATCGTGCCATCAATCATGTTCACTGACACCGGTGATGGTATTCGGAGACGCCCTCCAGGCTTCGTCACCCATTGGTGAGGCGATCGCCGTTCTCACTCGCCATCTCAGCGATCATCGACGCGATCACAAATTGCGATCCCGAGATCGCCTATCGCGATTCTACGAAAGCTGTGACGTTAATGGAAGGCCCCGTTGATCAATCTGAGACCACCGATGCACCCCTGCTGGCCTTCGTTTCCTCCGTGGTGAATCAACAGAACCCGGGTGTAGTGGATACGTCCACAATCTGGGACTTAATGCGAGTAGATATCCGGGATGGTTCTACTTTGTTGCCGGAGGTCCAGACGAGAGTCGCCGCGTCTCGTCGAGGTGGCCACCATGGTAAGAAGAGGGTTGAAGACAAGAAAAGACCAAAATGCCCCTGCTAAATCGGAGTTCTCACCGGATTGTTGACGGAAGACGACCGGAGGGACTAAATCGACTAAAAACAATTATTTTCCGGGACCAAATCGATGAATAACGAATGGGACTATTCGCTAATAATTGAGCGACCAAATCGTTGATTAACTCTAAAAAATAATAGATAATATCTAAAATATTTTTTAAAAAAATTGGGGGCCCTGTTCGGTCGCCCTGGCCAGACATGGCCAAGACCGGCCCTGCTTCCTGGCAACATGAATGCAAATGATATGCTCAAGTATGTGTATACACACCTTAAGAAGTTAATTAAATTGATACGCATTAAACTAGAAAGTGATGTTCCTTATGCTATAAACTTGCGCACCTTAACCTTTGAACTTAGGTCGGCACCTTAAGCTTTTGAACTACCTTAAGCTATAAACTTATGCATCTTAAACTTTGAACTTACTCACGTTAAACTTTAAACTTATGCACCTTAAAGTAGAAAGTAACGAACCTTAAGCTAACAAACTGAAAGCCATTCAATAATATAATTTGGATATATAATCTACATAGTGTAGCCAAGACTTTGTGGTCTAATGGCACCGAGGTTAGACTCTCAAATGGGAGGTTGTGTGTTCGAGTATAATCTAGATAGTGTGGCCAAGACCTTGTGGAGGTCGTGAGTTTGAACCTCACTTCTTTGTGCTTCATTATATTGAACAGATACTATATTGTAATAGAGTTGATTAATAATACTATACGGAGGTTATTCAAGAAAGTTACAAATAACACTAGTGGAAATCCGACCACCTGAAAGTGATCTTAAATGAAGTTGATACCAAAAAGATCACTTTCAGATGGTCAGATGGTCGGAAATTTCATAATTTCCAGTAGTGTAACTTGAACCAAGCATAAAAATACTATACGGAGGTTATCAAATAACCTTGATTATCTGATATAACCTGAACCAAACGCCCTCTCCAGGTTTACACAATACAACACATGCATACACGCAACATAGATAGAGCATGCAGCTAGGATTTGTTGCATCTTTATTCTTACATAATGAAGTAGCAAGCATGCATGCAACTAGTATACGGGAGGCTCAATCACTGCACGAACTGAAACTGAACAATTAAGGGAGAGCGATCATCACCCACAAACAAACGCGTCTCTCCAATAGACTTGTCGTAGTATGTGCTAACGGGCTTGCACATCAGGAACCCACAGTAAATGATTTCGTAAGTGTTGGGCGCTGGGGCTGGGTAAAGTATGAAAGGGTATGGTGAGTCATTATCTCCGGTCTTCACCAAACCTAGATCGGATTCCGAGTCGTACTCAGCATCCCAAGTTAATATTTGGTCACACGGTGGGACAACCGGAGTGTAGAATTTCAAATTCACGGGAATCCTTACCCAGACATCGGTGGCTTCCGGCGGGTACGCCGGCGCGATGCTAACCGCGATGCCGAATTCACTTTTCCATAGGACCACGTTGGTTGGGCATCTGGTATTGGTGTCATTGTACCAACCAAACCCCACTTTCTCCGGGGTTTCCGAGGTAGCGGAGACTATGTAGTAAACTCCGCCGGTCCGGACCTCGTCTCCGTTGGTGTCCCGCACCGGAGGCTCATACGGTGGACTGGGAAGGCGGATGGGATTAATATTATTGCGCGTAGAATGAGTTGAGTTGGGAAGAAGATAGAGTGAAAGTGCGAATAAGAGTAAAAAGGTTTTCATGTTAACTGAATTGGGAGAAGATCAGAGAGATGGGGTTTGTATATATGTATTTCAGAGAGAGAGAGTGAGGATGGTATGACTTGTCACTTTATCACAGCATCCAGGATTACAAGGGGATACTTGTTCCATTCCCACCATCATGACTCACCTCTTTTCTTTGGAACTTGTAATATAATTAGTTGTAAACAACTCTTTTTATAATATACCATCGCCAAGCTAGGCCGCCCAGCCAGCTTAAACAATTGGTTCATCATTTTTATAATATTTCTATATAGATCAATAATGATCGTTCTGCTAGAAAATGGGGCCGTATCCATTAATGATAGATCAATAATGATCGTTCTGCTAGTAAATGGGGCCGTATCCATTAAAAAAAAATTGCTTTCTTTCGCCATTAAAAGCGTTTGTCTAAAGTTTATGTTCATAATTACTGAACTCTATATTCATAATTTTTGAACTTCATATTCATAATTATTGAACTCTATATTCACAATTACAGAATTCTATGTTCATAATTTTTGAACTCTAAAAGTTTATGTTCATAATTATAGAGTTATCCCCTCTCATTTCTTTAGCGAGTTCTTTTTTTTTTTTTTTTTTTTTTTTTAAGATGAAACGATTTAATTGATCATGCATGGCGTATGTTTATCTCATCCTGAGCAATGAAGAAGATCTGAACCATGATATGCAGTTCAGAATAATGAAGATATTGTCTACGGACAGAAGAGCCGCAATAGTTACTCAGGTGGTATGCAAGACTTCTCAAATAGAGTCAGCCTTGGATAGCCAGATCATTACCAACATCAAAGAAGCTTCATGTTTCACCAATGAATTCAGCTTAAATCTTGTAACACAGTTTGCGATTCAAGTTTCTTTTAGCATTGCTAAAGAAAGTTATTTCTATGTGTAAAGAATGTTTTATCATTCTATTGATCTTTATTGTAACTGTTTCAACTTATGATTAATCAATTAGCTCTTTATTTTCAAAAAAAAACAAAAACAAAAAAAATTATAGAACTCTATGTTCATAATTCTTGAACTCTATATTCACAACGTCTCGCTGAGTTATTTTGACAAATTTAAAAATAAAATTCTGATTGGTAAAAGAAAACCGTGTCACTAACTGCACCCTTACTCCAAAACTGTCAAAGGGCGTCGTATTACAAGGAGGACACAGTTCCATGGCATAACAATTGACAGAACATGGTGGGGAAATATATAGTAGTATGAATACCCGGGGCGTTAGGCCTAAAAGTAGCGGACACTATGTAGTAAACTCCGCTGGTCTGGACCTCGTCTCTGTTGCTGTCCCGCACGGCCGCACCGGAGGGTCGTCGAACGTTACTACTATATCAGCCGTACTGCGAAGGCGGATGGGATTAATATTACGCGTACAATGAGTTGGGTTGGGAAGAAGGAGATAGAGGGAAAGTGCAAATAACAGTAAAAGGGTTTTCATGTTATTTGGTAGATCAGATGACAACTTGAATGAATCGAGCGAACTAGAGCACGTGCAGAACACAGTCCCAAAAAAGAGTAGAAACAGAGATTTTGGAACTTAAATCGTACAAGTGTATATGCTTATTGTTGTTGTGTCAAAAAATTCTGCTGCTCTACCACTTCTTATATAGTGGTTGAAGGAGTTCAATAGCATTCATGATGGCATTCAACACCAATCCTGTAACAGCAACCATTACTAGAGTTTTAATTCACAACTTAAAATTAGAATTAATACAAGATTAACTTCGTAACAGCTGAATTAAAACCCAACGGTCGCAACAGGAGATCAGACGAAACGACGAAGGCCTTGGCCGAGCCGAGCATGATTCGGCCTTGGCCATTGGCCTGGCCGAAACCCGAGCTTATGGAGGCCGAACGAATCTGGCCGAACCAATACCCATTTCTTAAAGCTAAACCTGTCAACCAAACACACTCTCATTTATCTTTTCGTGGTAATATACTATACGAAGACATGGTTATTAGTATTACACATACACGAATTTTGGATAAGATTTTTGACGAAGTTTGTTTTTTTTTTTTTTTTTTTTTTTTTTTTTTTTTTTTTTTGTATTTTTTTTAAAATTTTAATAAAATTTTAGTGTTATAGGATGATAAAAATCAGGATAACTCAATTCACTACACTGAAATCTAGAATCTTAATTGTTCCTAAATTTCATTCTCATAACCAATTGAACTGTTGATACGGACTTGAATAATCATTACATTAAAAGCATAAATTGTCATTTTTAATACCGCGCGCGGCACAACTCTTTTTATAATATATACCATCGCCAAGCTAGGCCGCCCAGGTGGCCTGGTTCACCATTTATACTATATATAAAAACAAAATCCTGAAATTTTAACTTCCCGCCCAATTCCTAAAAAATCTCTCTTCCTAATAAAATATATTGATTTCTACTTTCACATTCGTACAGTAATTCTGCGTTAAAATTCTATTCTAATACTATAAAATAGTGTAATACAATCTATCTATACTATATATAAAAAAACAAAATCCTTAAATTTTAACTTCCCTCCCAATTCCTAAAACATCTCTCTTCCTAATAAAATATATTTATTTCTACTTTCCCATTCGTACAGTAATTCTGCGTTAAAATTCTATTCTAATATTATAAAGTAGTGTAATACAATCTATACTATATATAAAAATAAAATCCTGAAATTTTAACTTTCCACCAAATTCCTAAAAAATCTCTCTTCCTAATAAAATATATTGATTTCTACTTTCCAATTCGTACAATAATTCTGCGTTAAAATTCTATTCTAATATTATAAAATAGTGTAATACAATCTATAGTATATATAAAAACAAAATCCTGAAATTTTAACTTCCCGCCCAATTCCTAAAAAATCTCTCTTCCTAATAAAATATATTGATTTCTACTTTCCCATTCGTACAATAATTCTGCGTTAAAATTCTATTCTAATATTGTAAAATAGTGTAATACAATCTATAGTCTATAGTATATATAAAAACAAAATCCTGAAATTTTAACTTCCCGCCCAATTCCTAAAAAATCTCTCTTCCTAATAAAATATATTGATTTCTACTTTCACATTCGTACAATAATTCTGCGTTAAAATTCTATTCTAATATTACAAAATAATGTAATACAATCTATACTTCTATACTATATATAAAAACAAAATCCTGAAATTTTAACTTCCCGCCCAATTCCTAAAACATCTCTCTTTCTAATAAAATATATTGATTTCTACTTTCCCATACAAAATCCTGAAATTTTAACTTCCCGCCCAATTCCTAAAACATCTCTCTTTCTAATAAAATATATTGATTTCTACTTTCCCATTCGTACAGTAATTCTGCGTTAAAATTCTATTCTAATATTATAAAGTAGTGTAATACAATCTATACTATATATAAAAATAAAATCCTGAAATTTTAACTTCCTGCCCAATTCCTAAAAAATCTCTCTTCCTAATAAAATATATTGATTTCTACTTTCCCATTCGTACAATAATTCTGCGTTAAAATTCTATTCTAATATTGTAAAATAGTGTAATACAATCTATAGTCTATAGTATATATAAAAACAAAATCCTGAAATTTTAACTTCCCGCCCAATTCCTAAAAAATCTCTCTTCCTAATAAAATATATTGATTTCTACTTTCACATTCGTACACTAATTCTGCGTTAAAATTCTATTCTAATATTATAAAATAGTGTAATACAATCTATCTATACTATATATAAAAAACAAAATCCTTAAATTTTAACTTCCCGCCCAATTCCTAAAACATCTCTTCCTAATAAAATATATTTATTTCTACAATAATTCTTGGTTAAAATTTTATTGTAATATTATAAAATTGTGTAATACTATTCCTATTCTAATCAATATCTATTTTATATATCAGTGTTGCAAAAATCGTGTCGCTGGCCGCGGCTAGGAAGGCAGGAATCGGCCTCCTCAGCTGCCGCCTCGCCGGCTGAACCGGCCTTTAATTTTTTTTTTTTTTTTAATTTGTAAAGTGTCAAAAGTTCGGCACGGCATAACTTTTGACTCCGTTGTCCGTTTTGGACAAATGTTTTTTTGAAATCGTGTATTTTTTCGAGATCTATCCACCGCAAATTGCCGTAGGCGGTTTGGCCCACCAATTTCTAAAAAAAAAATACTTTATTAAAGAGTTTCTAAGAAAAAACTATGAGAATCTTATGTTTTATTAATGAATTTTTAAAATTTTTAATTAAACAATTGTCTCGTGCATTATTTAATAATCTTTTTTTATAATTGGTCAAATTATTTAATTATGGTAAATTTGGAAATAATTAATGATGGTAATATAAATCTTAGAAGAATATAGAATTGAACAATATTTAATTATTGTTATATTATTATTGTGACTCACGGAATACAAGAGTTAATGCCATTTTTGGTCCTAGACATATTGGGGCATTGACACTTTTCATCCTCCATAATAAAAATTGTCACTTAGTAGCCACTGTTATTGATCGTTGGACAGTTTTGATCCTCCGTCAATGACGCCGTTTGTTGACCGTGAATTAGAAGGGTTTTTTTTGTCTTTTTATGTTCTAATCCTTGTATTTCTCCATCCATTGGTCACTGCTAGATCCATTTCTTCAAACTGAGGTTATCCGCTTTAGTCCTTTCTAACATTAAGAAACCATCTTCACACAACTAACAATCACGAATTTTACATTTGACATCAATCTCAAGATAATGGAAACAAGTGCAGTTGGAATAGAAAGGGCGTTAGTCCATGCCTGTGAAAATTTTGTCGAGCATACAACATAACTAGCAAAGTCAGGAATATCACCCAACCCCTCCCTTAACCTTTCTGCATCAACTATAATAGGTATGCCCCTACTCTTTGCCTCCTGCACTACAATCAAAGCAGTTTCATGCAGCCTTCCATCTAAGTAGACAATATTTACTCCAAGCGTTGAAGACAATTTTGATTTGGGTATGTAGACCCTCAGATATCATGGGTGGATATCCTGGAGTGAAAATGCACGTGCAAGTTTTTTTTTTGGTTGTCAACAATGACATGTGTGAATGGTGAGTTTCCTCCTTTGGACACCACCATAAAAGATGTATCAACACCATCCCTTTCAAGCTCATCAAGTATTCTTTCGTCATGCGAGTCATCAGCAACCTTAGATATGATCCTTGGATTAAGACCAAGACGGATTTTATCATCCGGGTTTTATCAAAGCATTGCCAGTGTTACCACCTCCTTGAACCTCAAAGCTGGTGCTCCGAATTTTATCATCCGGGTTGGGGAATGAAGCTACAGCAGCCAGGAAGTCAACACCGGCCATTCCAACACCTCAGACAATGCGATTTTTGGGGAGCGGCAGATTTCACATTTTCAGCTTGAAACTTCAATGAATTTCAGGTAGAATAACAGAGTTTTTGAGGTTGTGCACCAAGTAGTTGTGGTCAGAGAGAGAGAGAGAGAGAGAGATGGGAAGGATATTTGTGGTCAATATGGAAGGGAGGACTTACAGGTGCAAATTCTACATCACGCCATCTACAACTACAACTGTTATTTACCATAGGAGGGTTCACCGACCTGCTGCCCTCTCTGCTTCACCGGAACCAAAAACCACCGGTGAAGGCCCCAACCTCGCCGGATCTATTGCTGCACTGCCAGATCTGCCTTATTGGTCCGTCGCCGGAAGGAGTTACTGCCTCGTATGCTCGCCGCCGTACCCACAACTCGCCGGAGAAGAACCTCGCTGCTACTCACTACCGACGGTTACTACTTAGCCGCCAAGTCTCGCCATCTCGCCTCACAGGAGTCATAGCAGCGCTGGTCTAAACAAGATTAGAAGAATAAGACATAAAAAGACAGAAAAACCCTTCTAATTCACGGTCAACAAACGACTTCATTGACGGAGGATCAAAACTGTCCAACGACCAATAACAGTGTCTACTAAGTGGCAATTTTTATTATGAAGGATGAAAAGTGTCAATGCCTCAATAAGTCTAGGATCAAAAATGGCATTAACTCTGGAATACAATACAAGAATATTTAATTATGGTTATATTATTATTGTGCCTCACGACCATTATATACTAACAGTACTTGAAAAGAAACTAATAATAATAATAATAATAATAATAATAATAATAATAATAATAATAATAATATAAGTGGTAATAATAAATCTAAAAGTAATTAAGTGTTAATAATAATAGTAAGAATATTAACGTAAGAGTTGTAACATAGAATAAATTGTACTCCGTAATAATTAATAACTATAGTCTAGAATTAAATTTGGAATTGTCAGGAAAGATAAACGACCTCTGGTGAAATCAACTCTTAAATAATTATATATAGATTTAAATATTCTTAATATATTACAACAATTCCATTCCGTGCATCGCACGGGTGAAAATACTAGTTTTTATAATATTTCTATTTTAAATAAATCAATTACTCCGCACTAGATGTTGAAAAATGACTAATTAACTTATAATTAATATATGCAAATCATTTAAATTATACCAACTCCAAGCTAGGCAGTCCAGGTTAATCAAATGCAATCATTGTGTGGATCATGATCTACACAAGCTGTATGCAACCATATTTTGTATACTGTAAAATAAGATACATTTAATACAAAAATAATGTACATTTAGTATATTAAAAATGTATATTGTATTTAGAGGATGTACATTATTTGAATACCGAGTGTACATTATATTGTATAATGTACATTCAGTACACAAATAATATACATTTAATATATTCAAAATATACTTTTTGTTATAGTTCACACAACACTGTATTCATACCTAATGGTGTGTATCTTATTTGAAAAGGCCAAAAATACCATTAATGCAAGGTCTTGCAATGTAGATGCTCTACAAGAGTTGCTCTTACTAAATGAAGGTCATGTGGTTGAAGAAAATGAAAAGCGAGGTGATGACATTGATGGTGAAGATGAAGATGATGAGGTTAGTTCTTTGTTTTCTCCTAAGTACTTGTTCTCATATGATCTAATACTATATATTTTATTCACCATTAACGATGTTATTCTTCAGAAAGTCTATGTTCATAATTACTGAACTCTATGTTCATAATTTTTTAATTTCATATTCACAGTTATTGAACTCTATATTCACAATTACAGAACTTTATGTTCATAATTTTTGAACTCTAAAAGTCTATGTTCATAATTATACAACTCTATGTTCATAATTTTTGAACTCTATATTCATAATTCTCGAACTCTATATTCACAACGTCTCGCTGAGTTGTTTTGAAAAATTTAAAAATAAAATAAAAATAAAATTCTGATTGGTGGAAGAAAACGGTGTCACTAACTGCACCCTTACTCCAAAATTGCCAAACGGCGTCGTATTGGAACCGTGTCCACCTTGCAAGGTGGACACGGTTCCACGGCATAACAATTGACAGAATATGGTAGGAAAATATATAGTAGTATTAATACCCGGGGCGTTAGGCCCAAAAGAATACGTACAAAGCCTGAGATACCGACCCAAAACGGTGACCCAAAAAATAAATAAACAAGCTAAGGAACTTAATACAATAAAATAGGCACAAGTGTCAAATAGGTTCATCTACTACTAGGAAGTGCTCAATCCCCACCACGAACTAAATGAAGTGTCAAATAGGCCCATCTACCAACTAAATTTGTTCATTTAGCTTTTTTTACAGGTTACCAACAGGTTACCTATTTATTAATTATTAAAAAAATAATAATAAAATAAAATAATTTTTTTTTAAAAAAAATCAGCCACCGGCTGTCCGGCGATGACAGCCGGTGGCTACCCATCACAGACAGTCGTGGCCGTCTAAAAAAAATCGAATTTTTTTTAATGACAGCTAAACAAAATAATAATAACAATGAAATTGATCTGTGAGTCTTGAATGCAAGTTGAAATTTAAAGTTCTACTTGGTTTTAATTAGCAAATTAACTTACCATTAATTAAGTTATTTTTCGAATGGAAAAAAACAAAATAAAAGATAAGAAAGCAGAACTAGGGACACAACAATTGTTTACGCAATTCAGAGCTAAACTCCTACGTCTGTGGGGCAACTCCTGTCAACCCAATCCACTAGATGATCACCAAGATTACGAGGGGTTTAAATACAAAAGGCCGCAGCCACATAAACCAACTTTATCTTCAAAACATCTACTGAAGGATAGGAACGTGAATGCCGGAATACATCTTCATGCTTCAAATACGCTGACCTAGCTTCAAGCTGACTGTCACGACTATACCACCACTTTAATACATATTCATAACTTGAAATACATTGTTTAATATAGAGAGAATCCTTCGAATTATAGTTTGGGAAAAAAAAAACCATGAATAGATAGATCGAAAACCATATTTTTATACTTATTAGAGTGTAACCAACTTCCCTCAAATATGCTGACCAGAAATCCAATAACAAATGATAACTAGCCATTTAAATTCAGGCTGAAAACTAGTTCAGCACAATTGAATTCTATTAGGGAATGTTGTTGAGATGCACTAACACTGATTCAGATAGCAGACTGAATAAAATCTTGAGATAGTAACGCTTGTCGAAAGCATACCGATTTATTCTGACTGCACCGTCACCATGTAAATAACGCTTTTAAGGCAGTGTTATTATAACACAACACAGACTCCCTTACAATCATACACTTAAATTTGTCATTGTTTCTTAAAGAGTTTCCATCCTCCGCGTTGACGTTCCTTATATTATCCAACACCGAGTTTTCGGCATGTGTCTTCCCCAAACTCCTATAAATATCATGCTAAGTGCATGTAGAGAGGACTTTTCCCCATTCTCTTTAGAGCACTTACATGCTCGGGAACCTCCGACCCTTGGTTTAAATACTCGAGCTACTACATCCAAAATATACGATGACCAACACAAATATTATTTACACTATCAAAGTATATAGCATATTTTTAAAAAATTATTTAAATACGCGTAACAATACAAGCCTTGACAGTGAATGTATTGTCTTCATATAAAAAATAAAAATATGCGTCTAAACCATATTAGTAAAGACGTGTAAAGTTTTTAAAATATTTAAAAAATACCACCTCATTTTTTTTCTTACCTTGGTATCTTTAGTTGTAAGCAAAGAAGCCTATTGTTGATTTTTTTTTGGTCAATACTCTACTAGTGAGTGAGTCACAATTTCATATTACATTTAAAACATTATTATCTTTTCTCAATAAATACTATTTTATATTCACAATTATTCTTTTATATCAATATATAAATTAGTTTTAAATATTAAAAATAACAAAAATATAATTTTGAAATACGTCCATAGTTCATGCACATAGAGTGTAACTTTGGATAGCAGCTTCAGTAAATCCTTTACTAGTTAGGGTCAAAAGATGGGCTTCTTCACCCATCGTGCAATTTTGAGTAACAACTCCCCTAAATGAATCGACAACCAAACAAAAAAATTGAAGAATTAAAATAAACATAAAGTCTTACACATAGATAATATTCTCCACACGTTTATTTAGAGTCACACAACACATCAAGCTAGGATTTGTTGCATGTTTATTCTTACACGTACAACGTTACTTATTTATTGTAACTAGTACCGGTACAATAGGCGTCTATTCTACGGTACAATAGGCGTCTGTTTTACAACAGGTACGTGGTTACACATCACGTACTAGCTTTCTTGAACAAAACTTCAATGGGATCATCGCTCAGAGCCAAACGAAAAGTCCTCCACCATGCGTCTATCGCTGGGCCAACGTTGTAGCATTTGTCGGCGCCAAAGGGACAATAAGTGATTTTGTAAGCGCGGTTGGGTACCGCTTCAATCTTGAACTGGTTGCTTTGGTTTGAGACAAACTCGCCGGTCTTCACGAAATATTCCCCGGGTGGAATCTCCCAGTATAGCTTATTCACGCAAAGTTTGTTCGTCGGAAGGTCGAATTTGAAGCTCAGGAAAGTCGACGGCAGGACGACGGAGGCGTTCGGGTCCGCCGGCGTGATGGTAACGGGGTCGCCGTCGTTCCTGGACGATATTGTCACGTCGCTTGGGCATTTGCTCGGCGTCGGCCAGACTAAATTTGAAAGTTTCACTGCTCCGTCACCGGCTCCCCATGTGGCGGCGATTATGTAATAAGTTTCGCCGGGCCGGAGCTCGTCTCCGTCGGTGTCCACCACCGGAATGTCGGACGTTATTGCGACATCAGCGGCGGTGGGAAGGCGGATGGGGTTGCGCGTAGAATGAGTTGGGTTGGGGAGGAGATAGAGGGAAAGAGCGAATAAGAGTGCGAGTGCGAGGGCTTTCATGGTGCGACAACTTAGGAGAAAGAGGTTATGATGTTTGTAGGTGTGTTGTTTGAGCTCTCATACCATTGAATTTATAGAGGAGAAGAGATAAGGTAAGATTGAATACTAAGACTATGTGGTCTAATGGTATTCGGGTTGGACTTTCATTTGAAAAATGAAAGATTGTGAGTTCGAGCCTTAGTAGAGGTGTTATTGATTCTTTGTTCATGAGATTTTTACACTAGAATAGCACATCCTCTTTGTTCATGAGATTTTTACACTAGAATAGCACATCCGCTACACTTGTACAGTTGCACACGTATCGCAGATGTGGGTAACGGAAAGGTTTAAATTTTCCGCGATACCTGTTAGGGTGTGCAGAAAGCATCTTCCATGAAGTAGAAGATGCTAGAAAAATGGTATAACAAATGTGGGTTAGACTGGTCGGGCTAAAAAATGTATGCCCGACCCATCAAAACGCGGGTTAAACAGGTCTTACCCACCAAGTTGAACCCGTTTTGACGGTGCTACAAATATTTATTCTGACGTAATATCTCTTATTAACATTACTAATACTAACTATAAGACCTAATGGATGGAGAAATAAGGAGAAAAATTTATGTGCTAATAATTGGATATGACTTTAAGATTGAGTTGGTTATTAAGACTTGATGGTGTATGAAGAGACATCACACAAAGTTTAACACTTAAATTTGGCAGAAAATTGTTCGAGTGCGGCATGACTACGCGAGTTGTATAGCTTGATTGCGTTTCATACCTTGCAATCAATTTTATTTTTTATTTTTTAAACAAAAACAAAAACAAGAAAAGAAAGATCTGTAAGTAATGTTGTTTGTACTCTCATGCAATAAAGAGACGACAAATGTGTGCACATCTTAATTAGATTCCTTTGTTCATTTATCACATGCTACAAATAAATGAGGAATATTACAAATACATCAATTTCGGATAAGATTTTTAAAAATAAAAATCTTTCTAAATAAATTTTAGTGATGGACAGTTTTTACATATTTTTTGTATTATATAACTATGTCGTTAATAATTAAATTTTAATTTGTTCAATTTCTGAAGGGCATGTCTATCAATTTAACGTTTTTGTAGTAACTGAATTTAGAGTGAGATCGAAATTAAATTGACAATTTTTAGTGATGATTAAACACACCAAATTAATTTGGCAACATAGAATAATTAACGACAAAAATAACTATTACGTATATTATAACTGAAGGACTGAAGATACAATCGTAATATATTTTCTAAAGAAAAATTTTTATTGGAGTATTTATACTTCTCCTAGCTACCTTATTAATTACTTTGATTGGTTAGAGAGAGTATTTTCTCATCCCCTCACTGTTAATAATCAGAATATAATCTTACGTACTCATCTTTATTTTTTTTTTCTTTTTATATAAAAAAAAACCATATTATTCATTAAAAACAAAGAAATACAAGCAGAAAAGAGGACATTTTCCTCGCCTTGCAGAATATATACAAAGCACCTTCATATGTAAATTCATGCACCTTCAGCTTTAAAGTCAAGCATCTTAGCTTAAGCTTTAAATATATGCATCGTACCTTAACTTAAACTTTAAATATATGCATTTGGGAGCCAACTTGCCCTTCACTATGAGAATAGGGAAAATTTGGAGTTTTGATGCTAATTGTGCTTAAATATCTTTGAGTTGATGCATCACAAGAGTGGGACAATTGCTTGTTCTAATCATTATTTAATTGTTCACGAAATTGACTTTTAGGTTAGGGTTTTTGTACGTGTGCATTCCCGCTCATTCCTTGGTTAGTTGTTCTTCACAATCCTTTGGTTGTATTTGTGTATCTAGTAGATAATATATGCTGCCTAGCTTGAGCCATTCAATTCAACCAAGCTACTTCCTCTATCTTATTTTATCTGTCCTACTTACTATTTATTGGTCAAACCAAATCTTTCTTCTTTTGGTTATTTTCTTTTGTATTATTTAGTTATTTTTACATTTGAATTTTTGTGTTTAATAGTACTTTTAATGTAGTTTCTAAATATATAAATTTTGTATACTAATATTAAACTTAATACTATGAAAAATTGAATTAAAAATAACTTCAGTCAGGCCACGTTAACCGAATCAGACACTATGAGACAGAGAAAGTACTTAATAGGTGTAGTCAACTTGCACCACATATATAATTAAGGCCTTAATATATAATATATGAGAAAATCTTACACATATTCCTTCACATAGATATTTACAAGACGTTTGGTTGGAAGGAAGGAATTAGGGAGGAAATGAATTGTAATTCAGTGGGTAAAGAATAAGGTTGGAATAAAGTAGAAATTCAAATTACATTGTTTGGTAGGCATAAATAGAATTTATGGGAATTGAAATGAAAATGCTAAAATACCCTTGGTAATAGTACGTAGTAATAATAATAGTAATAATCATCATCAATGGTGATGTTGTAATTTCATATTGTTTTCCTTTTCTATGTTACAGTGTTGCACCGAATTGGAATTCATAGGGGAGCCTCAAATAGAGGGAATTGCAATGCAGTCAACCAAATAGTGTAATTGAAGTGCTCAACGAATTATGTTGTAATTACAATTCAATTATGATGGCGATATGGGACCCCGGGGGGACCATTTTATTGGGAAAGTCGGCCCAACCGCCCAAACGGGGTGTTCATCTTTTGGCAAATTATGATGTGCATCCGTGTGTACCATGCATGGTGCACACGGATGCAAAAACGACGTCGTTTTGACTAAAAACGCGCGTCCCACTTAAAAAAAAATCAGTTTCGATTCCCGGCAATAGCATTATGTTGTGCATAATTTGAACTATATATCCAGAATTAATGAACTAAAAATCCAGAATCAATAAACTAAAAATCCATAATGAATATACTGAAAATCCAGAATGAATGAACTAAAAATCCATAACGAATGAACTAAATATCCAGCATGAATGAAAAAAAAAAAAAATCAGTTTCGATTTCCGTCTAAATATCCAGAATCAATGAATTAAAAATTCAGAACCAATGAACTGAAAATTCAGAATGAATGAACAACATAATGCTGTTGAGGGGAATCTAAACTGATTTTTTTTTAGTGGGACGCGCATTTTTAGTCAAAACGACATCGTTTTTGCATCCGTATGCACCATGCATGGTGCACAGCATAACGATTTCCATCTTTATGGGTGAGGTGTTGGCCCCACAAGAATAATGGAATTCTATCGGGCTAAGGAAAGAATTGAAGGAAGCTTGGAGAAAAAAATTATTAGAATTAATACTTGAGGTATCAAAACCCAGGACCTCAAGCATAACAACACAAGTCCCAAATCACCAATCCAATCAAGATCTTGTGTATTAAATGGTATGAAGCTCCACTTATATGCATGAGAGTGCGCTGGAAGCAAGGTAGTGGGGGAAACATGTGTGGTCCAGAACGAAGGCTGCTAGATGCCATGCTGTCCATTTGTCAACTATCCGTGAATCCCTCAATAGTATAAATAGGCACCCTTCCCTCCCTTTTAAAGGCACCCCTTGGCTCACCAAACCCCTCCCGGTTCATTGGTTTGAGTCTCTCAACAGTATAAATAGGCACCCTTCCCTCCCTTTTAAAGGCACCACTTGGCTCACCAAACCCCTCCCAGTCCATTAGTTTGGGTTAAGTCCTATCGGTAACATATGAAATATTACTTCCCTTAGCTTGTTTAGTTATTATTTTAGGCCCTATCGCATTCCTCGGCCGCATTCTTTGTATTTGGGCTGCCATTATGGACTTGTACATACTATTTTGGACCTAGCGCCCCAAGTAATAAAGCTACTCTTTATCTACCTCATTCTATATTTCTATACCCAATTTATGATGGATTCGATCCCAATAAAACCATCAAATACATCCAACTAAACAGGCCGTTAAGGTTTACACAATACAACACACTGCACACACAACAAGCTAGGATTTACTGCATATTTAATTTATTCTTACACTGCACGTAGGTTGTCAAAGCTGCAACGTAACTTATTTAGCATACCTAGCCAGCAAGCAAAGCAACTACATATACATACGCACAATATTACACTGTTACGCGCGCAACTGGAGCTTTCTGAATCACAATTTCATAGGTCGAATCAGTACTGAGAGCCAAACGCGTGGTGTGCTGGTCGTCGTAGTGTGAGCCAACGTTGTAGCAGTTGTCGGTGCCGGAGTCACAATACGTGATAATGTAAGCGTGAAGGATGGGCGCGACCGACACAATCTTAAACTGGTGCGAAAAAACATCACCGGCCTTCACGAAACGTTCCCCGAATCTAGGGTCGTACTGAACCTCCCAAGATACGTTGTTTACGCAGAGTCTGACCATCGGGAAGGGGGCGAATTTGATGTTCAGCAAAGTGGACTGAAAAACGACGGTGGCGTTCGGGTCCGCCGGCGTGAACACGACGGGGTATCCTTCTTCTAATTCGCTCCCTATGATCACGTCGCTTGGGCATTTGGTGGTCGACCCGTCCAAACTAACGAGTCGAAGTCCTCCATGGGTCCACTTCCAGGAGCGTAAGAGGTAAGGTGTGCCGGGCAGGAGCGCGTCTCCCTCGGCGTCGACCACCGGAGTGTCGGACTCGGCGGCGGTGGGAAGGCGGATGGGGTTGCGCGGCGTAGAATGAGTTGGGTTGGGGAGGAGATAGAGGGAAAGTGCGAAGAAGAAGAGTGCGAGGGCTTTCATGTTAATTGGTAGCTAGATGACAACTTAACGTGGGAGAAGAGATGAGAGGTAATGATGTTTGTGGGTGTGTTGTGTTGAGGTTTCAAGCATGCAATTTATAAAGGACAAGAGATAAGGTTGAATTATATTTTGACAATCCTCATATAATCTATGTATATAAGTATATAATTTTTTATTATTATTTTTTTTACAATTTGGGGCCTAATTATAAAAAAATTATGGCCCTATTTTTGTAAATGGATATTAGTTAATAGCTGTTATCTGATTGGGTAATTAAAGGGTATGACTATTTGATAACATTAGCTGATGGTAGAAAGGTGTTTGGTAAATTAGCTGTTAGCTGATAACTATTTTGTATAATTTATTTTCTCAAAAAGCTAATTGAAAAAATTACTTTGATGGTAGAAAGGTGTTTGGTAAATTAGTTGTTAGCTGATAACTATTTGGTATAATTTATTTTCTCAAAAAGCTAATTGAAAAAATTACTTTGAGCACTCCAAAAAGCTGATTAACCAAACACTTATATTAATTTTTTTAACCAAGTCAAACATCTAATAATAATCAAATAAACTAAAATTGACAGATAAGCTAACTATTTAACCAAACAATTACCTCGTTCTGCTTGCCTGATCGGTTGTCGGCACCCCTCTTTTCAATCGGCTAATCTCCACTCCCGCCCGACTGGGTGGCACCTATTCAAACTGATTATACTCCTTCCGCAACCAGTCTGTCCACCGACTTCTGCTCGTGTCTCCCTGTATGTCCGACTGGGTGTACCCCCATCCCATCATATATATGGATCAGTTCACGTGTGAAGACTCTCCCAGGTGAAATGTGGGGTGAAATCTGAACTGTTGATCTAATCTAGATCAACGGCTCAAATCAAGAAAATTTATTTTTTTAAAACGCGCTTTGGCTAACATGCATGCAAATGATCAATTGTCTCAAACTGATCCACTTTAAGATATAAAACTACATACCTTAAATTTTAAAACCACGTACCTTAAGGTATAAAACAACGCACCTTAAGTTTAAACTAATACACCTTAACCTAGAAAAGTAACACATCTTAAGAAGGAAAAACGGCGCACCTTAAATTATAGAAAGACGCGCCTAAAGTTTAGACTGATGCAACTTAAAGTTATCAACTAAAGAACTGACGCACCTTAAGCACATAAATTACGCACCTTAAGAAGGGAGAACGATGCACCTTAAGTTTGACCAGTACGCAAAATGATCAAATTGCCACCGCATTTTATTTTAAAAGTTTTCTTCAATCTGGGCTATTGATTTTGATTAGATCAAGGAATGAGATTAACCTTTATCTTTTACCTGAAGCCTATTACCGCATTTGATCTCTATTTTATATATATATATATATATATATATATATATATATATATATATATATATATATATATATATATATATATATATATATATATATATATATATATGATGGATAAATGCAGTAAAACTTCGTCATGGACTCATTTTCACTATTCCGAGAGGGGTGGAGGTACCCATCCAGCCTCTTCGGTTACCCTAAGGGGCACGAGGCCCGACCTCGCGTACAAACCCCGACGGAAGAGCTTAACGGCCCAAGTCCGGTGACTTGGGGCCGACGGGCTTACCCTAAGGGGGCACGAGGCCCGACCTCGCGTACCAACCCCGACGGAAGAGCTTAACGGCCCAAGTCCGGTGACTTGGGGCCGACGGGCTTACCCTAAGGGGGCACGAGGCACGACCTCGCGTACCAACCCTGACGGAAGAGCTTAACGGCCCAAGTCCGGTGACTTGGGGCTGACGGGCTTACCCTAAGGGGGCACGAGGCACGACCTCGCGTACCAACCCCGACGGAAGAGCTTAACGGCCCAAGTCCGGTGACTTGGGGCTGACGGGCTTACCCTAAGGGGGCACGAGGCACGACCTCGCGTACCAACCCCGACGGAAGAGCTTAACGGCCCAAGTCCGGTGACTTGGGGCCGACGAGCTTACCCTAAGGGGGCACGAGGCAAGACCTCGCATACCAACCCCGACGGAAGAGCTTAACGGCCCAAGTCCGGTGACTTGGGGCCGACGGGCATACACTAAGTAGAGCCCAAACTCCGAGTCTGGGCCGAGGCAATGGGGATATTCATCAATCGAAGTCAAACACGACCAAGGAGGGCGCACGGGGACTCAAGCTTAGCCCTCCCAAGGCGACCCTAAGGGGGCACGAGGTACGACCTCACGTACCAACCCCGACGGAACCACTAAGTAGAGCCCGAACTCCGGGTCTGGGTCGAGGCAACGAGGATATTCATCAACCGAAGTCAAACACGACCAAGGAGGGCGCACGGGGACTCAAGCTTAGCCCTCCCAAGGCGACCCTAAGGGGGCACGAGGTACGACCTCACGTACCAACCCCGACAGAACCACTAAGTAGAGCCTGAACTCCGGGTCTGGGTCGAGGCAACGAGGATATTCATCAACCGAAGTCAAACACGACCAATGAGGGCGCACGGGGACTCAAGCTTAGCCCTCCCAAGGCGACCTTAGTTGGGGTAGTCCCGGCTATAGGTGACCTCGGCCGGGGAAGCCTCGGCTAAGGGTGGCCTAGAGCTCGACTCTCTCTAACAAGGAAGCTACCTCATGAGCTCGCCCAAGAGGAGGACGCATCTTGGAGGCCACCTCAGGGGCTCGCCCAAGACGAGGATACATCAAGGAAAGCGCACGAAAGAAGTAAAGTGAACTCAGGAATCAAAGTCTCATACACGATGCCAAGGAGTCCAAGACTTGTTAAGTGTTCTTGCGGAGGAGGAGTTCCGGAGCAGGAGGTGGGGCAGAAATTTTCCCAGGGGCTTGGGGTCGACCTTCGACTCAAGCTACTCTCTTTCGCTAACGAAGACTCGTAACTCAGAGAGTGGGGGACTCATGATGGATATATTAGGAGAATGGTTTCGGGGCAATCCGACCCATGGTGGAGGCGTGATACGAGAGGCCTTGGAGACCCCAACGGGGTCCCCGGCGTGGACCTCGGGTGGGGCCTGCTATGGGGACCCCAGTTGGGGACGACCTCAGAAGTCGGACAAAGAGGAAGGAGGCGGGGCGTGTCGACCTTATACTCGAGCTACTCTCTTTCGTTGACAAAGACTCGCAACTCAGAGAGTGGGGGACTCATGATGGATATATTAGGAGAATGGATGCGGGGCACAATCCGACCCGGGGTGGCGGCGTGACACGAGAGGCCTTGGGGACCCCATCGGGGTCCCCAGCGTGGACCTCGGGCAAGGACTACTGCGTGGACCTCGGGCAAGGACTACTGCGTGGACCTCGGGCAAGGACTACTGCGTGGACCAAGGACTACTGCGTGGACCAAGGACTACTGCGAGGACCTCAGTTGGGGACCTCACCGGGGCCTCCCCGCGTGACTCGGTCAACTAAGATCCAACCGCCCGCCCTATTCTCTTGGGGTCAGTTGGGAGAACTATTTAGTATAAAAGGGCGCATCCTTGTCTTGTTAGGACATCTACTTCCTATTTATTATTACCATATTTACCTTGTAATTCTCCTGAAAACATTATCAATACAAAGGTGTCCCCGCGACACACATTCAACGTCTTTCCCAATCCCTTATCTATCGGGTTTAGTAATTCGGGTCTACCCCGAGTTAATTAAATCCATCAATATATATATATATATATATATATATATATATATATATATATATATATATATATGTGTGTGTGTGTGTGTGTGTGTGTGTGTGTGTATGTATATATACAAGGGATCAGGTGCGAAACTTCTCTCAGGTGAAACGTAACGATTAATCACAATCTTTAATTTGATCTTGTTAAAATTAACTTAAAATGAAGAACAACTAAAAAACACGGTGACATTATTATCATTTGGAGTAAGATGACAGCTTATATGTATGTATGTATGAATGACTGACAATTAATTTTATTGTATTTAATTAATAATTTAATATGTTCATAAAAGGCATGATTTTTTGTGATTTGATGACAATGACTGCCTTGGTCTCCATACACTTGACAAAATATGTCATTTTTAGTCATTTTAGCATTAAAAATGTATAATTTTCCCCATAGAATTAGTAATAACACATTTTTTAATAATTTAGAAAAAAATCTTGTGAATTTAAAGTAGAAAAATGCAATAATTAAGATACCAAAATGTATTAACGGCAGATACATTAAATCTTTTAACTTATTTGCTTTTAAAAAAAAATCTTTAACTTATTTAATTTCTATTGGTGGAAAGCATGTTGTCAACTTGGGATCTCAGGATTACCAATCTATTCATCGGACCATAGATAACAATTTATGCTTGTTTAATTAAGGGAAAATGGCACTTTTTCCCCCTGTGTTATATACTTATAGCACTTTTTCTCCCTATATTATTTAAGTGGCAATTTTCCCCCCTAATATATTAAATGGACATATTTACCCTTAAAATAAATATTTCCTTTATTTTACTTCTCCAATAAATTATAACCACAATTTGAAAAAATAAAATACATTAATTGTTGAATTTAGAATACTTTAAAAATAAAAAAATAAAATTTTAAAATAAAGTTTGAACCAACAGTTCAAATTGGATCAGAAATTGTGAAACAACGATTCAAAATAAAAACCAAATCGCGATTATATATACTTATATGTGAGATCAGAGTCAATATAAATGCGAAAAAAACATACACTATTTGCAAATATTATAATTCTAATTTTAAGCTATTGCTAGTAGTTGTTCCGATTTGAACCTCTGGTTCACGGTTCAGAATCTATTTTTTTCCACTTCACAATTTTAATAAACGGAAACCCAAATATTGGGTTATGTTATGAATCATAACCGATTTTTTTTTATTTGATTGCTATAGTGTTCGGTTCAGTTCGAACCGAACCGTGGCCATCCCTACGTATAAACAATAATTTGTTGAACAAGAGAAATAAATAAAATATGTATTTTAAGGGTAAAAATGTCTATTTAATATTATCAGGGGGAAAAACCGCCACTTTTATAATAATTGAGGGGGCAAATGTGGATGCATGAATAACTCAGGGGGAAAAAGTGCTATAAGCATATAACATAGGGGGAAAAAGTACCATTTTCCCTTTAATTAAAGATCATAGGTAATAGGACTAGGATAGGGAGTCTACCATCAACAAACCTCATGAGCTCGTGTCCCTCTAAAAACGGCATTACTTGTGTCCTCCAAAACAAAAAATTCTTATGAGTGAGCTTAATACTGATAAAGTGATGAGCAGTAAAAAACGAATTGACATCCATAGAACCGGAGGAAGTAATGGCAGCTTCAGAGACGGTCTGTTCCGAAGAGTTAACCGATCCATCAGTCACGAGAATGAGAAAACCCTAACTAGGCAGATGAGAACTGTATAAACTAAGTGAATATGTACAAGAGAAAATCATAGAGAGACTAGGATAGAAAGTTATAATGTGACTCAAATACATAGAATCTTATTAATACTAGTCCTAATAATAAGGTTTAGACAACACAACAATATAGTATTTGTTGTAAACTTCCAAACCTGCAATAGGTAGTTATGATGTTTGTAGGTACTGTTGTTTGAACTCTCATGCAATGTATAGAGGACAAATGTGTGCAGATGTTAATAATTAGACTCCTTTGTTCATTTATCACATGCTACAAATAAATGGGTAATATTACAAATACATCAATTTCAGATAACATTTCTTTTTAAAATAAAAGAAAAAGAAATTTTAGTGATGCACAGTTGTTACATATTTTATTTTGGTATTATATAACTATATGGTTAATAATGGCCAACTAACTTATAGTGTGATGGCATCTCGGTTACCATTTCAATTGGATGGTCATAAGTTTGAACCTTAGTGGTGGAGATTTAGAATTTTTTGGGCTGAAAAGAATTATTAGTATTTAAAAAAAAATATGGTTAATAATTGAATTTTGTACAGTTTATGTAGGCCATGAATAGCTATCACTTTAACGTTTTCGTAGTTATTGTTTTAGTGCAATTGAGCTTAAGGTGAGATCGAAATTAAATTGACAAATTTTTAGTGATGATTAAATTTAATATGTACGACATTTAATATGATAAAATTAAAAGAATAATACTAAATGTGGCAATACCACAATAGTCGATGACTAAAAGTAGAAGTTGCTCAAAGTCATGGGTGTAATATGATAAAATTAAAAGAATAAAACTAAATGTGGCAATGCCATCGAGGACTGGAAGTGGAAATTGCTCAAAGTCATGGATATAATATGACAAAATTAAAATATTATGACTAAATGTGTCAATGCCACAACAGTCGAAGACTAAAAGTGAAAGTTGCTCAAAATCAGGAATGTAATATGACAAAATTAAAAAAAAAAATATGACTAAATGTGACAATGTCATAATAGTAAGGCACTAAAAGTGGAATTTACTCATAAATGCTTGTTTATTTAAAGATCATAGGGTTTACACAATACAACATTTGAGAATTTGTTCTACATTATTGTCAAACCTGCAACAAACGTCACTTATTTAGCATAATAACAAACCAACAACCCATAAATCAGAAGGTAGCTTTCTTGAACACAACAGTGAATGGAAAATCTTCAGTGAGAGCCAAACGCGCAGCCCCGGCAGACTCGTCGAAGTATCTTCCAACGTTGTAGCATATGTGGCCGCCAAACGGACAATAAGTGATTTTGTAAGCGTTAAGCTCCGGCGCGACTTCAATCTTGAACTGGCCGCTAATGTCGGAGACAAACTCGCCGGAGCTCAGGAAGTATTGCCCGGATGGCTGGTCGTACCGGATCCGCCAAAAGACACTACTCACACAAAGCCTGGACGTCGCGACGAAGAACGCGAAGCTCTGGAACGTCGACGGCAAGACGACGGTGGCGTTGGGCTCCGCCGCCGGCGTTATCCTAATGGGGTCGCCCTCCGTTAAGGGCCGCGATATGACCACGTTGCTTGCGCATTTTGTCGCCGAATCTAACCAGGCAAGTTGCACTCCCCCGGAGGCGGCTCCCCGTCCGGTGGAGGTTATGAAGTAAGTTTCGCCGGGCCGGAGCGCGTCTCCGTCGGTGTCCAGCACCGGAGTGTCGTCGGCGGTGGGAAGGCGGATGGGATTGAACGTAGAGTGAGTTGGGTTAGGAAGGAGATAGAGGGAAAGTGCGAATAAGAGTGCTGTGAGGGTTTTCATTTTCACGACAACTTGGGAGAAGAGAAGTAGTTATGATGTTTGTAGGTAATGTTGTTTGAAGTCTCATGGAATTTATAGACGACAAATAATGTGTGAGGTTCAATTCGTTTATCTCGTGGTACAAATAAATGGCTAGTATTACACACACCCATCCATTTCCGATAGGGTTTTTGATAATGGTTTTTAAATATTTTTTTCTAAGAATATTTTTGTGATGCATAGTGTTTGTATATATTTAGTAAGAAAATGTTTTTTTTTCCTTAAATAGCATCCTTCATTATCAACACTAATTATAAAGTCAAATTGGTCAAATAGTTAACTTAGTAACCACAAAGTTACATGTTCAACTTCATTGCCCTCAACCGGAGTAGCCTATTGACTTTCTACATTAAAGTCTTTGAGTTGATGCATCACAAAAGTGAAGCAATTCCTTGTTGTAATCCTTGTTTAATGGTTCACGAAATTGACTTTTAGGTTGGGGTTGTTGTGTGCATTCCTGCTTGATTCCTTGGTTAGTTATTCTTCACATACAATCCTTTGGTTGTATTTATGTATCTAGTAGATAATGTTGCGAAGCTTAAGCCATTCAGTTCAACCAAGTTACTTTAGTCAACTTAATTGCACCACATAATTAAGGCTTTAATATGAGAAAAGAGCAAATTACACTTTTGGTCTTATGACTATAAGGGGCGTGTTAATTTCGATCCATGACTTTTAAAACTAACAATTTAGTCCTTTAATTATATTTTTTTTAACAGATTTGGTCCTCCCGGCCAAATTAACAGTGGAAATTGGCCAGAAATACGTTTGCCATTGTTAATTAAATATTAGGGGGGTAAATTGGTCAATTTAAGTTAGAAAAAGGTCAAATTTGTCTTTTTACGTTTAAAAAAAATAGAAAGTTTATCTGCTTCTTCTTCGCGTAGCTCACCTTCGAGCCACCATTAATGGCTAGCTTAAATTTAATTATGACACACACACACACACACACAGAGGTCAATGCGATAATCTCCTTGTCCAGGGTGAACATCCAGGCCCAAATGTTCCTGACGGGGATGGCGAAGGACAGAGCATTGAAGCCCAGAATAAAACTTCCGGTGAGGCAGACAATGTCGGCGCGTTTGGCGTTTCTAGGCTCCCGCGCCCCCAGCTCGTTGCCCACTCTAGTGGAGACACTGAAGCTGAGAGAAGACGGGAAAATGTAGATCAAAGAAGTGGTCTGAATCAGAATCCCCATTCCCATGGCTAAGCCGGAGAGATTTCAACGTGATTTACGATGGAGAATTAAAAAAAAAAATCTAAACTTTCCGAAGCTTGCTTCAAGGCAGTCAACGAGTTTGGCCAGTGAACGTAACGCGAAGAAGAAGAAGCAGGTAACTTTCTAATTTTTTTTTTTAAACGTAAAAAGACCGTACCATTTGCCCTCATGAATAAAAAATTTAAAAAGTTTTAAGTTTTTTCGGCCAATTTTCACGGATGATTTAGCCAGGAGGATCGAATATCGAGAGGCTTTGAGGGACTTTCATGTAATTTCATTCCTTGATGAAAGTTGTTAGAGGCGGTTACATCATAACCATATATATATAGTCTAGCCTCTGTTGTAATCACAGATCATTCCATTTCATTCGGTTCACTTCTTCAATACAACTCAAGTTTTCCCTCCTCTTTTTACTTCTGATCTTCCAATGCCATCCTAATCAACATGGTATCAGAGCGATGGCGCACCACCTACGCCGCCGCAGTTACCGGCGCCGGAGAGAACAGCCAAGGAGAAGATGCTGCCTCACCGGTCGTCCAAACACCAAGCCAAGCTGTTCCAGAAGTGATTCCACAGGGGAATCGTTTCCAGTCCGAAAGGAACTATAACATTCACGAGTTGGAGAATCCGCTGTTCTTCAGCTCCAGTGATAGCGCTTCTGCGATCCTCGTCAGTCCGGTGTTGGCGGGAAGTTCGAACTACGGTAGCTGGAGCATATCAATGAAGATCGCCCTAGAAGTGAAGAACAAATGGACGATCGTCGACGGAAGCACTCCAGCGCCGAGCAGAGATCAGAGTCACTATGCTGCTTGGAGACGATGCAACTTGATGATTTGTTCATGGATCTTCAAGTCGCTGCATCCTTCCATAGCGCAGAGCGTAATGCATCTGGATAATGCGAAGAGCATATGGGAGGATCTAAGGCGGAGATTCTCGCAACAAGACGCACAGAGGATTTCGAGTTTGCAGTCCGAGATGTACAACTTGAAGCAAGGATCTCTTACCGTCAGTGAGTATTATACCAGATGCAGGACATTGTGGGAAGAGATGAACACTTTGAGACCATTACCTCTCTGCAAATGCGATCCTAGGTGCTGCTGCGACCTCATGGAGATCATCCGGAAGGAGAGAGACACGGATCAAGTGATCCGATTCTTACAAGGCCTTAGTGATGAATACAATAATCTTAAGTCTAATGTGCTTGTTTTAGATCCCTTGCCGGAGGTTTATAAAATCTTCGTTATGGCAGAAAAATTGGAGAGACAAGCTAGATTAACCAATTTGACTCTGGCAGGTTCGGATGTCATTCAAACTAATGCTGTGCAGGGCTTCACAACTGATGAGATAGTAGCAGCAGCTCCTTACTATTCCAATGGGAAAAGGAACAATGGTGTGAGGGCTAAGTGCACTTACTGCGGGATGACTGGACATACCATTGACAAGTGCTACAAAAAGCACGGTTATCCTCCCGGTTGGGTGCCCGGTTACAAGACTAAGGCCAAGCAGCAAGCTACGACAGCAACAAGCTCAGCAGGTGAACTAGGATTCTCCTCGGAGCAATTGAAGAAAATGATTTCCTATTTGCAGACTCAAGTAGGCCAAGCCACTGGATCATCCGGCTCCAACATGTCTGTTGCTACCACCTTAACTCCAAAATTTGATGAGTCACCTATATCTGAAGGCAAGTACTTGGCTAATACTCTCTCTCTGAATAATTCTACATGGATACTTGATTCAGGAGCTACAAATCATGTTGTGTCTTCTCTTGATTCTCTTGACAATTATCATGATGCTAATGGAATTGAGGTGAACCTTCCCACTGGGCAGTGTGTCTCAGTTAAACACATAGGAGACATGAGGTTCAGTGATGATCTATGGCTAAGAGAAGTCTTATATATTCCCTTATTCAAGTTCAACATCATCTCTGTGAGCAAGTTAATTAAGGATGCTGCTTATAAATTGACTTTTATGTCTAAACAATGCTTAATCCAGGAGACTCATGGGAAGATAGTTGGATTAGCTAGGGAGGCAAAGGGTCTATACCTGATGCAACCATCCAGATCACCAGTCAAGAATTATGCCATGCCATGCATCAGTCCAGAGATTTGGCACCAAAGGTTGGGGCATTTCCCAACAAATAAACTTCACCTTTTGTGTGACATTGATGTCTCTAGAAATAAGAATGTAGCTTGTGATACATGTCATTTAGCTAAACATAAACGTTCTTCTTTTCCTGTCAGTGCCACTAGTTCAAAAGGATGCTTTGATCTGATTCATATTGACATTTGGGGACCCTTTCATGTTTGCTCTTTGAAAGGGGACTATTATTTCTTGACTGTGGTTGATGATTACTCCAGGTTCACCTGGGTTCATATGATGAAAAATAAGTCTGAAACAAGGCAACATTTGAAGAACTTTCATTCTTTTGTGTTCACTCAATTCGGCATCCTGATCAAAACTATTCGCAGTGATAATGGAGCAGAATTTAAAATGGAAAGTTTTTTTTCAGAAAAAGGGATTATCCATCAGCGTTCATGTGTTCATACGCCACAGCAGAACGCCGTTGTAGAACGTAAACATCAACACATCCTCAACGTTGCTAGATCCCTACGGTTCCAAGCCAATCTTCCCCTAGAATTTTGGGGGCATTGCATTATGCATGCAGTGTTTATCATAAATCGGCTTCCTTCTCCTGTTATCGATTTATCCAGTCCCTACAAGAGGTTATATGGAAAGACTCCAGACATTAGCAACATGAGGGTGTTTGGCTGTTTATGCTACGCAGCTACGCTTAAGAATGCCAGACATAAGATGGCAGCCAGAGGTCAGAGGTGCATTTTTGTGGGAATCCCAGCTGGGATTAAAGGCTACCTGCTGTACAGTTTGAGTGATGGTTCTATCTTTGTGTCAAGGGATGTGGTTTTTTATGAAACTCAATTCCCTATGATGGATAGAGATATTCCAAGTCAAAAGCCTTCACATATTGAGCCTTCACTTCCCAATGTTCCTACATCCCTAAACTTGGACTTGGAGCCGTGTGATCAGATGCAGTACCCTCATGATCCACCAGACTTAAATAACTCACATGGACCAGCAGCTACTGATATGTCTCAATCTCATGAATTGTTGAATTCAAACTCACCTCATGGACCAACAGATCTCAATGGTGAACAGCAAAACTCTAGCATGCCTCATGATCCAGTGGATATTGAGCCACAACCATGCAGTACTACTGAGCAACAAGACTCTGCCTACCACTCTGACCAAGATGTTGTCATGCAGCCTAGAAGGTCAGGTCGATCTCGCCAAGCTCCAAACAAGCTGATGGACTATTATTGTGACTCTGCTATGATCCGAGGCTCCTCACCACATCTTATCTCTAAGGTCATATCATATGACCACCTCTCCTTGCCACACAAGAAGTTTGCTTTGGCAGTCACCTCCATTGACGAACCCCGCACTTACAATCAAGCTATACACCATCAGTGTTGGAAAGAGGCCATGGATGATGAGATCAAGGCCTTGCAACAAAACAACACATGGGAGATAGTCGATCTGCCCTCCGGAAAGAACCCCATTGGATGCAAATGGGTCTATAAGGTGAAACTTAGAGCTGATGGTTCAGTGGAACGCCATAAGGCTAGGCTAGTGGCAAAGGGGTACACCCAACAACTTGGAGTTGATTACATTGAAACCTTTTCTCCGGTTGCGAGAATTACTACCATTCGAACCTTTCTAGCCATGGCTTCATCCCGGGATTGGCACATTCATCAACTAGACATCAACAATGCATTCCTCCATGGTGATTTAGATGAGGAGGTCTACATGGTCTTACCACCCGGTTTCCACAGTGATAAGCCAGGGCAAGTGTGCAAATTACTACGTTCCCTATACGGCTTGAAACAGGCCAGTCGACGGTGGAACGCCAAGCTAAGTAATGCGTTGATTCAGCAAGGCTTCACACAATCCATATCTGATCCCTCTTTGTTTACAAAAGGGGATGCTACAGGTTTCATTGCCCTCCTTATATACGTCGATGATATACTTGTAACAAGTCCTTCTTTACAGCTGATTACTGAGCTTAAAGCATTCTTGAATTCAGCCTTCAAGATCAAAGATCTCGGCCCCTTAGGTTACTTTCTGGGGATCGAAGCCCGTATGGAGGAATCGGGCCTAAATTTGTGCCAAAGAAGGTATGCCCTGGAGATTCTCGATGAGGCAGGTTTTATGAACTGTAAGCCAGTCGATACTCCTATGGTCCCTGGTATTCGGCTCACCAAAGAAGGTGGCATCATTCTCAGTGACGCCTCTGGCTTCAGGCGTCTTGTTGGCCGGTTGCTCTACCTTACCGCAACAAGACCAGATATAACCTTTGCCGTCCAACAACTTAGCCAGTACGTCGATGCTCCAACAACTGAACACCTAGCAGCAGCACATCGTGTCCTCCGCTACATCAAGAAAGCTCCTGGACAGGGGCTACTCTATCCAAAGTCTAACGCCCTGCAACTCAATGTCTTTTCAGACTCCGACTGGGGATCATGTTCCGACACTCGAAGATCCATAACTGGATTCTGTGTCTTTCTTGGCTCTGCTTTGATATCATGGAGGACGAAGAAACAAGCAACCGTTTCACGTTCATCATCCGAGGCAGAATATCGCGCTCTAGCTGCCACCGTTTGTGAAGTCCAGTGGCTTACAACGCTAATGCATGATCTACAGATAAAGCTAGAGAAGCCGGCTGCTCTTTTTTGTGACAACAAATCGGCAATCGCTATCGGTGAGAACCATGTGTTCCATGAACGCACTAAACACCTGGATATTGATTGCCATATTGTGCGGGAGAAGCTCAATCAGGGAATCATCAAGCTTCTGTCCGTCCCTTCTTCAGCCCAGGTGGCAGATGGCTTCACCAAAGCTCTTCCTATTTCCTCATTCCAGTTGTTCACCTCTAAACTGGGTGTTCAGGACCTTCACACTCCAGTTTACGGGGGGGTATCGAGAGGCTTTGAGGGACTTTCATGTAATTTCATTCCTTGATGAAAGTTGTTAGAGGCGGTTACATCATAACCATATATATATAGTCTAGCCTCTGTTGTAATCACAGATCATTCCATTTCATTCGGTTCACTTCTTCAATACAACTCAAGTTTTCCCTCCTCTTTTTACTTCTGATCTTCCAATGCCATCCTAATCAACATCGAAACTGCTAAAAAAAGCATAGTTAAATGACTAAATTATTAGTTTTAAAAGTCACGTATCGAAATTAACACGCCCCTTATAGTCATAGGATCAAAGTGTAATTTGCTCTATGAGAAAATCTTACCCATATTATATTAATCCTTCACATAGATATTTAAGGTTTACACAATACAACAGTACGTACACACACAACAATTAAGAAGCTAGGATTTATTGCATATTTATTGTTACACTGTACGTAGGTTGTCAAAGCTGCAACGTAAGTTATTTATCATACCTAGCCAGCAATATAATATTACAATGTTACGCAACTGGAGCTTTCATAAACGAAATAGAATATGGTGAATCAGTACTGAGAGCCAAACGCGTGGTGTGCTGGTCGTCGTAGTGTGAGCCAAGGAGGTTGCAGTTGTCGTCGGTGCCGGACTCACAATAACAGATAATGTAAGCGTTAAGGCTGCGTGCGGCCTCCTCAATCTTAAACTGGTACGAGAAAACATCACCGGCCTTCACGAAACGTTGCCCCAATCTAGCCTCGTTCTCAACCTCCCAAGATACGTTGTTTACACAGAGTCTCACCGTCGGGAAGGGGGCGAATTTGATGTTGAGGAAACTCGACTCCGAGACGGCGGCGGCGTTGGGGTCCGCCGGCGTGAACATAACGGGGCTGCCGGCGTCTTCGTAGCTCGGTATGATCACGTCGCTTGGGCATAGGGTCGTCGCACCATCCAAACTAACGAGTCTCACTCCTCCGTGGGTCCAATTCCAGGAGCGTAACAAGTAAGGTCTGCCGGGGAGGAGCTCGTCTCCCTCCATGTCCACCACCGGAGGGGTGTCGGACGCGGCGGTGGGAAGGCGGATGGGGTTGCACGGCGTAGAATGAGTTGGATAGAGTAGGGAAAGTGCGAAGAAGAAGAGTGCGAGGGCTTTCATGTTGACAACAACGTGGGAGAAGAGATGAGAGGTAATATAATGATGTTTGTGGGTGTGTTGTGTTGAGGTTTCAAGCATATATGCCATTTATAGAGGACAAGAGATAAGGTTGAATTATATATTGTGGCACTCACGGCGTCTTCCGATCCTGTGGGTATTGGTAAAAAAATATAATTGAATGAGCAAATTTTTTTGCTCATAAACATGTATATATGTGCTAAATGTTAGATAACATTTAAGAGTAACATAAACCAAAGTAACGAGTAACCTGAATCGTAGTAGCGGAAGCTTCAGGATCATTCGAATATCCCTTGCCATAGTTGTTAGTGTTGTAGCCAGAATGGTAAACTTGTAGAGTGTTTTGTCTACCACTTTTCTCCCGAATACCTGATGGTGGGTGTATCCTGAACACGGGAGCTGTGGGAGGACTAATTTGCTTAGAAGCCTACATGCCATCAACGTAGGCATATTCAGTTAAAGCTTAACTGAATATCCTGAGTTGCATAACAGATTCTTACTTGCACCACAGCCACCTAATAATACATTATATTATAATATATTGTATTTAGGGAAAATACTTACACTACATATATATTGACTTTCTGATAATATATTTTTGAAAGATTATTTTGTTGAAGAGAATTTTAGTGGTGTAGAGTCAGTAGTAAGTACTCAAAAAAACAATAGAAAATAGTGTACCAAAAACCTTGTGGTCCACTAGGACCAATTAGGCCACTAATTATTTAAAATATAAAATAATTAAAAAAAAAACAGCTTCGACTTCGTCTCCATCTCCAACCGTGGAGACAAAGATATCTTGTGTTTGGACCTGGCTTTTCTTCCTTTCACCATGTAACTACTCATTTGAGTGGTAGACCATGGATAGAATTGAGAGAACATTACCTTATCTCTAATGGAAATGAATTACTCAAGTTACTATGACTTTATAACATGGTTCCTTCCTAGATGTTTTAGATGCTGAAATGAATGTTCTCTTATAGGAGAATTTGCCAGAGTAGTCCAATTTCAGAATTAATTCACCAAAATAGGCTCCTCGGGTTTGCCAAACAATTATGTTGCGAGTGAAGTTGCTTGATGTCGAAAACTTCGACTCTCGGAGCTTCGTTTTGGCGCAGAAAGCAATCAAAAGTGGAAGAATGGCCGGAGAAGGAGACGGAGTTGAAGTTGGTTTTTTTTTTTTTTTTTTTTTTTTTTTTTTTTTAAAAATTATATTTTAAATAATTATTTTAAAAAAAAAATATTTAAAATTTGGGGTGACAGGTTAGAAACTTGAAAAACCCATAAATTGGACTAATTGCATGAAATTAGTTAGTTTAAAGATTCAACTGTAGATTTTTTTATTTTTTATTTTTTATTGTTAGACTCATTGACCTAATTGGATTATCGTGTGTAGTTCGAACGATATCCTATTTGACTCTTATTTCTTAATGTTATCAAAAAGAACAAGGAAAAATGACACTTTTCCCTGAGTTATATGTTTATAGCACTTTTTTCTCCTGAGTTTATTTATGTATCCATAATTTTCTCCTCGGTTATGTTAAAAGTGGCGGTTTTTCCCTATTTATTGTTAAATGGACATTTTTGCCCTTAAAAATAAGTATTTCATTTATTTATTTTTTTCTCTAACAAATTATTGCTTAAATGTAAGGATGAGTACGGTTTGATTCGAACCTAACCAAACACTATAACAATCGAACTGAAATAGTAGGGACGGATTTTGGTTACGATTTAGAATTGAAATAAAATAAAATAATTATTAAATTTAGATTATTTTAAAAATAAGTTTCGGTTCTGAATCATAACCAGAATTGTCCCTACTGTTTCGGTTTGGTTGCTACAATCAGGGACGGAGCCAGAATTTCTTTTAGGGGGGAGGGGGGAAGAAGTAAAGGTAAAATGAGTTCAAAAATGTTTAAATACAAAATATCAAATACGAATAAGATTGAATTGTTAAAATACAAAATACATTATAAATTACGATACAAAGTTTATGATGAACTACGTGATAATACTCATCTACGTTCTCTCATGTTTTGAAATCGCTGTAGAATTGCTTCATTTGAAACATTGTCAAAAATATCTTTTTCAACATACAGCACTAAGCAAACATGCATGTAATAAATCATCACTTATCCGGTTGCGTAAAGATGTCCTGATTAACTTCATAAAAGAAAATTAGAAAAATTATGACAACACTAATAAAATCTAGGCATACTCACTGAACACACTCTCTCACTGGCTCACAATCCTCACATTACTGCTCAATGCTCACATTCAAATAATTGATATAAATTGAGACAAATTGAAAGTTTGTGACACTGCTCGTTTGCTCACATTCATAAACTAAAATATTTCACATTCTGATTTCTGAGTTCTGACATTCACATTCACTATCCACTCATTCACAAAAACACAAATTGAACAAGCTAAAAGTCTAAAACCAAAACCAATAACTCAATAGGTCAATAAGGATAAATTAATTTTGCATTTCTGGCTTTCTGCCATACGACCCATAAGTGGCAAATTGCTCATTGCTCACATTCCATAAATCATAACTCATAATTGATAATTCATAAACAAATTCATGTATTCAACAAAGCACATACTGACATATATTAAATTGATTAAAATAAAATTAGAAGAATTAGGGAAATTAGGATAAAACTAAAATTAGAGAAATTAGGGCAAAAATACGAACCTAAGTATTGAGAGGAGACGAGAGGCGCTGAGATGGTGTTGCCGGTGTTCCTGCTGACCGGTAAGTCGGCGAGCCGGACGCCGGTACTCCAGTAGGCAGCCAAGGCAGGGACGGAGAAGCAGCAAGGTAGACAGCCAGAGAAGCAACGAGCTCTGCAATCTATCTGCGTTCTAAAATGTAAAATAAGGAAAATAAAAAAAATTATATATATAATACAACCCCAAAAGGACGTTGTTTTGGAGTTGTATAATTTTTTGTAGTGGGGGCAGCTGTCCCCACTATCCCCATGCCAGCTCCATCCCTGGCTACAGTGTATGTACGGTTAGGTTTGAACCGAACAGTGTGGTCATCTATACTTATAAGATATAATTTGTTGAAGAAGAAAAATAAATAGAATACTTATTTTTATGGATAAAAATGTCCATCTAACATAAAAAGGGGAAAACCCGTAATTTTTAACATAACTTAAAGGACAAATGTTGATACATAAATAACTCAAGAAAAAAAAGTATTATAAGCATATAATTCAGGGAGAAAAAGTCTATTTTTTCAAGCAACAATTAAAAAGAAAAGAAAAGAAAAGATCTGTAGATAATGTTGTTTGAACTCTCATGCAATGAATAGACAACAAATGTGTGCAGATGAGATATTAATTAGATTCCTTTATTCATTTATCACATGCTACAACTAAATGGGTAATATTACAAATACAGCAATTTGAGATAACATTTCGTTTTTTAAATAAAAAGAAAAAAGAAATTTTAGCGATGCACAGTTTATATATATATATATATATATATATATATATATATATATATATATATATATTGTATTAAATAACTATATGGTTAATAATTGAATATAATTTTGTACAATTTATGTAGGACATGCCTATCAATTTAACATTTTCGTAGTCATTGTTTTAAAGTAATTGAGTTTAAGGTGAGATTGGAATTAAATTGACAATTTTTAGTGATGATTAAAGACACCAAATTTTCTAACACGGAATGATTAAGAACAAAAATAGCTACTAGGACTATGTGGTCCAATGGTACCCGGGTTGAACTTCCATTTGGAAGATTATGAGTTCGAGCCTCGGTGGAGGCGTTATTGGTTCTTTGTGTTTCAGTAGGTTGAGAAAGTATATGAACAGATACTACAATGTAATAGAGCCAGTAACTTTCAAAAAAAAAAAAAAAGAACAAAAATAGCTATTATACTATAACCGACGGATTAAAGATACAATATATTTTCTCAAGTTATACCTATCCTTCCTTATTAAGTACTCTAAATTGTTAGAGAGATAAAATTATGGGAGAAATCTCTATTTCTCATCCCCTCCCACCTTTAATAATTGCAATCTTAACGCACAACGTTAATGTTGCTTTATCTTCCTCTGCCATACGTGTGTCCCACTAAGTTGAGGCCATCCAGTCACTGATGAACGGCCAAGGCGATTTGGTGATGAGGGTTAAAGTGGAAGTTACTCAAAGTTAAGGATATAATAAGACAAAATTAAAAGAATATAACTAAATGTGTCAATGCCATGATAGTTGAAAACTAAAAGTGAAATTTGCTGATAATAATTTATGTTTGTTTATTTAAAGATCATAGGGTTTACACAATACAACATTTGAGAATTTGTTCTACATTATTGTCAAACCTGCAACAAACGTCACTTATTTAGCATAATAACAAACCAACAACCCATAAATCAGAAGGTAGCTTTCTTGAACACAACAGTGAATGGAAAATCTTCAGTGAGAGCCAAACGCGCAGCCCCGGCAGACTCGTCGAAGTATCTTCCAACGTTGTAGCATATGTGGCCGCCAAACGGACAATAAGTGATTTTGTAAGCGTTAAGCTCCGGCGCGACTTCAATCTTGAACTGGCCGCTAATGTCGGAGACAAACTCGCCGGAGCTCAGGAAGTATTGCCCGGATGGCTGGTCGTACCGGATCCGCCAAAAGACACTACTCACACAAAGCCTGGACGTCGCGACGAAGAACGCGAAGCTCTGGAACGTCGACGGCAAGACGACGGTGGCGTTGGGCTCCGCCGGAGTGATCCTAATGCGGTCGCCGTCCGTTAAGGGCCGCGATATGACCACGTTGCTCGCGCATTTTGTCGCGGAATCTAACCAGGCAAGTTGAACTCCCCCGGAGGCGGCTCCCCGTCCGGTGGAGGTTATGAAGTAAGTTTCGCCGGGCCGGAGCGCGTCTCCGTCGGTGTCCAGCACCGGAGTGTCATCGGCGGCGGTGGGAAGGCGGATGGGATTGAACGTAGAGTGAGTTGGGTTGGGAAGGAGATAGAGGGAAAGTGCGAATAAGAGTACTGCGAGGGTTTTCATGGTTGCGACAACTTGGGAGAAGAGAGGTGAATAGGTAGTTATGATGTTTGTAGGTAATGTTGATTGATGTCTCGAGCAATTTATAGACACAAATGTTTGCACTTCATTTATCTCGTGGAATAAATAAATTGTTAATATAACCCGCTTAGTTGGCGTGAGCAGTTGTGAACTCTCATCCCAAGGTCGGGGGTTCGAGCTCCTCCCGTATAAAAAAACTAGACAGCACTTTGGAATCAAAATTAGTATGGTACGAGTTTAAAGGTGTCTCATACGGTTAGGGTCTGTACAGGAGACCTCATGACCTAACAAAAAAATAAATCACTGCTGGAAATCAGCGTTTTTCCGACCACTTAAAAAATTGGTCGCAAAAAATGGATTTTTTTCATTTTTACGACGGAGGGTGACAGTGGTCGAAAAGTGGTCGGAATTTCCGACCACCTTATACAAGGAAGTCGGAAATTCCGGCCACCTTTACTTGGTGGTCGGAAAGTTTTTCCGGCATTTTTAATTTTTTAAACTAATCTTGTTTCCTACCTCTTTAGTGATCGGTATTTCCGACGAACTTTGAAAAGTGGTAGAAAATACCGACTACCAAGTAAAAGTGGTCGGGAATCTTTTTTTTTTTTAATTTTAATTTTTTATTTTTGTTGTGGTTTAGTGGAATGAAGCCCACATGATTTATCTTTTTTATCATTGATTATATCACTCATACTCTTTTCTTTTTTTTGATTTCAACGACCACGACATAGAAAATTTACTACTAGATACCATCTCATCATTCTTGCTATAAACAAATACGACCGTGTTACCCTTTTCCATGTCAATACATGAAATCATTTTCTAAATCCAACTCTTTAAAACTTTTATTCTTGTTATGACTCTACAATCCTAGTACTGTGTATTATTTTTATCACATACTACTATTAAGAACATTTTGTATAAATTTTGATGATACCAACCTTATGAGTTTAGACCCCCCCAATTCTTTTTATCTCTTAGACTTAGGATAACTCGGCTCAACATTCGAATCTTAACCGAGTGACTTATACGTTACATATGAACAAACACTCGAGGAGTCAGTCTCTTGTGTATTCAAGACCGAGTGATTCATTAGAGGAGTTAAGGAAGACAAATCAAAGGGAAACAAATCATTCGAGGAGTTAAGGGACGAATGGTAAAGTCAACCATCATTCTCTGAGCATAAATAGTCTGAAATCTTAAAGCGTCCCTTCCTAATGGCTTTGCCGTCGTTTCTTCTTATGGAACCATCTCTGACGCTGCTATGGTGTCTCTTATGCCGATGGCCATAATTGACCATCAGATCTTTATAGCAATTATAAAGTTAAAAAAAAATATTATAATTACCATATTAGTATATATTAGTATATGTAATTATAATAACAATTTTCTTGATAAAAATTATAGAAAATACACATTTATAAATACTTGAAATTTGAAAAAAAATGTAAAATAATATACTTGAAATATAATAATTTACTAACAACCATTATATATCTAAAAACATAATAAGCCTCAATTAAGGTTATATCATTGATTTATGTCTCTCTTTTTATATGCAAATAAATGTGTACATTTTACTTTAAATGTTGTATATTTCAATGTTACTAACAAAATGCTAGTTATATACATATATATATATATATATATATATATATATATATATATATATATATATATATATATATATAATATTAGTCTTAGTCTCTTAGATATGTGGTCAAAAGCATCAGACAACAGCCAACACAAACCCTAGCTCTCTTCGCGACACTTCGCCTCCGCCACCGTCAGTCCACCTATTCAGCCTCCGCCACTGGCCAGTCCATTCGCTTGTTCCGCCTCCGCTACCGCCAGTCGCCAGAGACGCCAGGCGGTCGCAGCAGCCAGCGCCTAGCAGCCCTCTGCCTTCACAGTCGCAGCAGTCATATGATGCCTTCGTTATTTCCTCATCACCATGGAAACAACGGCAGCTCGAAAGAACGGAGGAGGCGTGCTAGAAGCTCTTTACAGAGTCATTATGCGGCGCAAATACGTCTACGTAACCTTCGTCGTTGTCTGTGCTTTCCTCGGCGAACGGGTATTCTCTATATGTAGTAGCTGTTTTAGTCTTTTATGACGTTCACATATGTGTATTGCTCTGGAATTTCAGAATTTATGCATTTTATTTAAGGATCCTTTTTGTCTTAGGTTCGCGAGTTGTTGAGTAGAAATTGAAGATGAATGAAATCATGAAGAAAAGCAACTGTTTTGATTTGTTTATTCATTGAACTAAAAACATGCTTAATGCTTTATATTAATTTCTTGTTGTGTAACTGATTGGATTTCCTATTATATTTGCAGAGCAATTGAATAATTTTCACTTTTCCTAAAAAAATTTCTATCATTGCAGGCTGTTAATTATGGTGTTCACAAGCTTTGGGAGTACAACAATGTTGGGGTAATGATTCCTTCTATCTTGTACTCTTACAGTCTTGTTATATGTTATTTCCTGATAAAATTTATAGGGAAAAACACAAAAGAAATTACTTATGGAGTACTAGATTTGAAGGTTTTAGTATTTGACTATTTAGCGCTAAAACAAATTCATCAAAGATAATACAACTTTGTTGTACTCCGAAGAATTTTTTGGAATTAAATTTTATTATTAATCAAATTAGTGTGAAAATTGATGTTGGGAATGGAAAAAAGTTGCCTGTAGCCTAATTTTTCACCTATTAAAGATACATATGGCGGAAGTCTGGTAGATAGCTGCATATAAGTTGAGTCAAGATAAGGTCTTGGACACTTTTTTCTAAGGAAATACAAGCAATGATCAAAGGCATGCATCTGTAGAAAACGACCATGGTACCATGTAACACTTGTTACATGGAATGCTGGAATGTAATATTTGAGTGTATCTAAATTGTGATTATAGGTTAATTCTTACAATCTTGAGAACATTGGAAATCCCATTGTATTGCAAGGTTGCTTAGATCTGCTTGTTGATGAAGTAGTCTGCCTGCTATTTCCAAAGCATTTGATCCTTAATTTCAATAACTATGTATATGGGTGATGCTGCTAGGGTGCCTAGGGACCAAATGAGGTGTTATGCTAAGTTGTTTTTTTAAATAATTTTTGGATGTTGATCTCAGTATATATTCCGATGAGACTTTGGCATGCCTGTCATAACGCTGATTTGGATGTATATAGTCATATCTCCCTAGGACTAGCCAATGACCCCCCAACTTATCTGGTCAGCTTGAGGTCTCTAACTCTCTTAGACATAAGATCAGGAGTTCATCCTACTATGATGTATCTAAGAGAACTTCTGTGTGCCACAAATAATCTAAATGTCTTGAATAACATTCCAAATGAAACAAGTGCTTTTGTTGGTTGAGTTAATGAGCATCTATCTAAGGTCTTTTGTTGTATGCTCAAATGTGTTGCCGGCTCAACATTGTTGTGCTGTGGCCGATTTTTGTACTTGTTGTTGCCTTGTTGGTATTTGCCTTTATAGTCTTAGAATCCTATTATACTGAGTAGAGTATGGCTTTTGTGTTAATCTCTCAATTAGAGCAGTTGATTCAATCTATAATACGGATTGCCACAATTTGTTTTCACTGACATTTTCATCTGCTTAACTTTTCCCTTTCATTTTGTTTGTTAGAGAATAATTCATGGCCTGACTATGTTTCATCAATTAAAGTTAACTTCTCATAATTAGTGAATTGTGATATCCTTTGTTATGTTGCAGCATTTTACAAGATGAGTCATGTAAAAATTGATGTTTCAAACGGATGCAGCGCCAGAAAGAGGTTAGCATGTGTGCGATTGCTTTGGATTTACACAAGATACTATCTGGTTTAGTGTAGTGCATCAAAATACCAAGTTTGTTTTATAGATTTCCCACCTTCTTTGTTATTCTTTAGCATGGAAATCTTGATATTATATTTTCAAGTCTTTTACTTTTCAGGATGAAATCTGGGGCTTGCAGTGGAGCTGATTCTAAAGCACAAAGGGAGACAATGCGAAGGTATAGGCTGAATGACTGGTACACTCTATTCTCTCTGTGGAAATTGATTGCTACTTATATATGTCTAGACTTGTAAACTTTTTTGTATTTAACATTTATACTAGTGTTTGGATCGCTATTCATTAGTCGATATTGTGAACGTGGATTTGTTTCAAGGTTTCCAAGAATTGAGTCGTGCCATGGACCCTGGAAAGCCACCCAAAATGGATAAATCGACCATATTGAGCAATGCTATTAGAATGGTACTTCAGCTAAGGGATGAAGCTGCAAGAGTCTCAATTCTTCCTATAGGTTTCTTGTTTTTGTTACTATATTGTTGCAATCTCTAAAGCACGAATCTCTTAGATTCTAATGTTACACACAAATTAGTTGATTAATAATTATTATATAGATTGTAATGTTAAAGCACGAATCTCTTAGATTGTAATGTTACACACAAATTAGTTGATTAATAATTATTATATAGATTGTAATGTTACCCGTGCAGTGAAATGTTTCAATTTTTTTTTTTATTTTACTTCATAAGTTTCCGACCACCTTGGTGGTCGGAACATTATCCAAGATCTATAATCTTTATGGGCATAATTTTCGGACCACCAGTAGTCGGAAAACATACAAAACTCACTTTTTAGCCCGACCAATTTTTCCGACGACGCACAAAAAGTGGTCGCTATTTCCGACCACTTTCTCGAGTGATCGGAAATAGCGACAGAGTTTTTCCAGATACCCAATTTGATCGGAAATGTGGTCGGAACAGGTGTTCCGACCGAATTATGGCTGATTCCGACCACTTTTGAGAAGTGGTCGGAAATCTGATGATTTCTACCAGTGAATAAATGGTTAGTATTACACATACACCCCTCATTTAGGATAAGGGTTTTTAAATATTTTTGTCTAATAATGGCACGTTTTATACGCTAGAATCAAAGTCTAAAAAAAAAGAAAAAAAAAAAGACGACAAATGTGTGCAGATGAGATATCAATAA